TTTCCCAGAATGTAAATCACATTTTAATACAGTTGGAGCACAGTTGAATGAAATTTGCAGCAAAAATAAAACGTAAATTGCTACACAACCCCTTTGGAACCAAGCTAATACTCCTTTATGTATTTAGCTTCAGGGGGACCATTTAATTTGAAATATTTATCTGAATTGATAGTTTTAATATAAATTCTTTATAACATATGTCTCCGTACATGGTATATGTATGACTTTAGAAGCCAATGAATAGAGTGTAATTGCATTTGCATATTATCCATATATTATTATCCGTGACAAGATCCCTTTGTTTAACATTTTGACTGCCGGGACCAGTCTTGTTAGCGAGCACCTATTGAACCTACTGCATTGCACATGAGAAAGGAGCGGTGTGGCCAGGACCATGGGTACCCTGGCTACCTTTGTCTACCCCCTTTGCTGATTTAGACCACATCAGGTACATTCCTGAATTGAGACAAGGTCAACCTACACCTAAGGCGCAGGTCAATGTTCAATGACATGATTAATTGTACATCATGGCAATGGATCGGGACTCGGGTTCGCTGGGATCATGGCACAATGCGCTAACCATTGCACAGCCCCTCGACCACCAGAAACGGGATGACAGGTGCTCGCTAACATCACTAGCCAGTGACACGGTGCACAGCTCAACAGAGGATTTGTACATGCGCACACGTGGACGGGAACGGAAAACAATTAATTTGACAGAAATATCCCCCATACATTCTCCGCGATACTCTCTCAGCCCGCTGAGCCAATCCAATAAGCCTATACATTTAATTACAAAAATATTCATATTGTGTACGGCGCAGCTACGCACGCTGGAAGTGTGGTTTGCTAAAGGAAACAAAGGGTTGGTTTTGAAATGCCGCTGTTAGCCAGAATTGGAAAATACAAATCATTTCATATATATACTGTATATACTTACACACACCAATATCGAGCCGAGTGGTACTGTGTACTGTGGTCAGAACGCTTGACTCACAATTGTAAAGGTTACGGGGTTCAAACCCTGGTTAGGGGTCACCTCAGGCCATCGATCCCCCAGATGTCTACAGAATAATAATTTGTGAGAAATCAGCAGCAGCTGTATTCAGAATACCCTGGTGCCGGTCATGAATGTGGAATTTTATCTACTTCCCAATGCGTGTTTGAGTCGAAAGACTCTGAACGTGCCAAGTTGCGCTGCTGAAATCATCATCATTATCAGTCGTCATCATCGTCGTTATCGTCATCAGCCATGGTTAATCTACTGCTGGATGAAGGCCTCCACAAAGCCACCGCGACCTCTCAAGATCGTGTGATGTAACGACTTATCTGTTCGAGTGGGAAGTCAACAGTGGTTGGTTCTCTATGAATAAACTGGCCACTGTCATAGGAATTTGGAATTTACAACGCTGGCTCAGGGCTACCAATGGAGATGAATGTCAACCAGGGAGAAATGGACTTTCTTTTATATTATGCAAATCATGTACGGTGCACATCAGAGCTCTGAAACAACCTCACGCACTGTCGATGTGACTAAAAGTTAAACATTACAGGGTCGCTGTCATTTAAAGGAAAATAACATTTTCTTTTGCAGGAGTCCCCCCCCAACTCATTAGTGACTTGGCATCCCACAGTGTCGGTAAAAAGTTGAAAACTTAACCACGGAAATATACTGCTGACGAATTTCTGATGTTCATTTTATCAAATGCTATTCAAACGTCTCAATTATGGCAATTTAAAGTCACTTTTCCCATTATAAACTAGGGTATCTATAAGCATTCCATTCATTACAAAAGTTAAGGTTTCTCCTTGCCCAAGTGAGAGTATCGGCATACATCTTAATTGGTGGCACAAATGCCAGTCTGTAGTCAGTAGTGGAAATTCCATATTCCTATGGCAAGAGCTATAACAAAGTGGTACTTACTTTACCCTGTCCAGTGGGGACAACTGTGATGGGCCGAGTCAATCCCTGACCTGGATTTGAACTTTAACCTCCGGAGTGGGTAGTCAATCCGAGTGCTTTCTAAAAAAATGTAATCTAACAGATTGAAACCAATCCTTTTGGATTTTAAACATGCCCTCGCTGAATACATTTGAAACATGAAAATATAGATATGTAATAACAATGTAAGTTTACAATGCGCACGGCATTGGGACAGGCGATGATGTAGCTGGGCCTGGCAAAAAGCGCGATTTCGGTTCGACTCCTGCCGATGAAAAAAATCGAATCTTCCGGATTTACTTTCGAACAGTGCTGCTTGTTACTGACCGCTTGCCGTTTTTTTTTTTTTTTACTGGCCCTCGTGCCCCCTCCTGGCTCCACAAAGATAGAAGAACAAAAAGAACCCCAACAAATAGGTGGGGGCAAACGTGGGTACTCCTCGTTCGATAAAGACGCAGGAGGTCATAAGTGTGGCGGCACCGTGTTCACGCCGCACGATATGAACCCTCCCCTTTCCCGCCCCGTACATTTATCGCGTGAAATCGTGATCGTCGTCGCAGCAGCGTGCAATTGACGTCGTACGGTATCGCGAGAAGTGGCATCGTCCCGACCCTCCTCCCTCGCCACCGTGGGAAGCTGGATGAAGAGTCCTCTTTAAATGACATCCAGTTGAAGACGTACGTGTTTTCGAGAACCTCATGCTCAGGTCAAAACAACAGAAAACGTGGACGTTGGTGGGGGCCTCAATCGGTGGTGGCAATTCCACATTTTTATGACATTAGTCAGTGTCTCCGCAGATAACCAGCCGCGTTCTTTTCCTGTAAAGTGGCGTGACTAACTTGACCTCCGTGGCTCATAATTTTTTTAACTTTTGTATACGGAACAGTATTCAAGAGATAGATAGCCCATTGTCTTGGCTCAAGCGTGTAAGTAAAACACTTTTAGATGCCGAGTGGTGGTGGATCGACACCACGTTATGCTTGATACTTCCGGTTCAGTAGACTGATGTGGCCGGGAAATGATGCATATCAAGTAGGTTGCTGGCCTAACCTTACATGTATTTTTCATACATTTAACTTTGTATATGTGGGTTTTCTCTGGGGCATTGCAGTTTGCTCCCACTTGCGTAAGAAAGGGATCGGCCAAACATTCCATTGCAGTGCAAAATGACTGTAATATGGTGAGATTAACAACAAATATATTGATGGTTATTTCATAACGAAGTGGTGGATGTGTGTGCTGTGATGCTATTAGCTTTACGTCAATATAACGTCTAGGAGATTAGTGAAAACTTTTCACCAAGCGAGCTGCCATGTCTCGAACTCGACAGAAAGTCCTGCAAGAAAAAAAAACAATCTTATAGAAATGGCAATTCGGTCAAGGTAAAAATTACCAGATAGACTCAGAAAGTCAAAGAAGCCTCCCTGCTCAAGTGAACATGGAGTGGCGCTCATTTCCTGACACCCCCGGAGGCCGTGGTGGAAATTCCACATTGCTATGGCAAGTCTCTGTGATCCTTGCAAAACTGAAACCACGATCGCTGCGGCACTGAACGGCTCAAGTAAGTAACAGTTGCCCAAAAAGTTGAAGAGCAATGAGTGTTAAAAGTTGCACTGCAAATGCCTTCTCTGCAAGGGCCTGTTTGAGTGTGAATCCGGAACCTCTGCTTCCGAGTACCGAACCAAAAAAAACCCACAGAAACACCTTGCTTTCCCCCGTTGGAGGCCCACTTTGCTAATTTTGGAAATTCGACATTACCATGACAGTGGATCTGTATTTTTGTCGCAGAAAAAAAAACCCCACTGGTGACTTCAGACAAAGTGGTTACCCATTTTATGGACCCGGGGGGGGGGGGGGGGATGATAGGAGGGAGCTCAACAGCCCGACTTGGATTTGAACTCGTGACCTTCGAATTGCACTCTGACCTCTGCGCCACCAAGCTGGATATCGAGTGCTGTACCAACGGCACGCATGCACAAAAACATTTTTTTTGGTCTTCATTTTTTTTACGAACCCCCCCCCTCCTCCCCCCAAACATTCTGCCTACCATGGTCGTTCTGTTAAACATCCTTCAGACAGCATAGCTAAACGCGTGCACGGGGAATCTTCCGCGGGGGGGGGGGGGGGCCCTATTCGCCAGTGGTGCCTTCAATCAGCGTCTCAAGCCCGCCTCTCGAGTGTGTGCAGGCTCTTACAGCGGTCACGACTGAATTACTATCGTTTGTGTTTGCATATGACCAAATCGCAAAAAATCGCGGTTTGGGATGTGACAGACATTCAGAAAAGGTCTGTGCATTTTGGGAGGGGGAGAGGGGGGAAATTGACGCTTAAATAACGCAGAATCTTAAGAACGAATCCAGGATCTGTGAAGATATGATCGCAATAAGATGAATCAACTCAAACTATGCACGCAATGGTGGATCGACTCACTGATGATAACGCGTTGTCATCTTAAAATATTGCGAGCGAGAATCTCTTATTTTCTGTCCACATGCGTCGTGTCCCATGTGAAAGTGACAGATTGGTGGGCGCCGTCATCCAACAATGGACAAATTCATGGCTGCTGCTGATAATGAATCCTGCAGTCACTACAGGTGCTCCATTCACAAAAAAATATATCTAATAATTGATTCTTGTATGGAATTTGTATGCCGAATTATGACAATCAATTCAATCGTAACGGTGGCCCCATCACAGCCTGCCTAAACAAAGGGCTCTATAAATATATGCTTGCCACGTGAAATGAAGTGCCGCGCACACACACACACACACAAATTTCAGTGTTGGGAACAAAACACAACAAAAGTTTTTTTTTTCGTGCAGCCATTGGGAGACTGCGCCGAGAGCATTGACTCTCGACGCGCAACGTGAAACACCCAGCTCGACAGCAGGACGAGGCTGAAACCCGGATTTGAACCCAGGTAGCGGAGCCAGCTCGGTGTCCCTGACATTGCTATTAGGAGTCCCCCTCCCCACCCCCATTGCGGCAGCCACACACCCACCAGCCCACTCACCAGCCCACCCACCCACCAACACACCCACCAACACACCCACCAACACACCCGACAAGCCACCCAACAAGCCACCCACCCACCAACCAACCCACTGAGTGGCAGCGCACGAGAGGTGGGAGATGGGGGGGGGAAGCAATCACGCGTCGGCCGCACGAAATGCCTGGGGCAGCGGCTGCCGGGCCTGCCTCTGCGCGGGCTTCCCTCGGAGCGAGCCGAAGATGTTGCCGAGGCGGAAGGAGGAGGAGTGGGTGAGGCGAGACCGCGAGGCCGTTCCGGCGCTCCGAGGGAGTTTCTTGCTTTGAGAAAACTGCGAGCCCTGCGAGTGGCCGCGGCCCGGGGAGAGGGGGAAGTGCAGGGGCAGACACAGAGCGCAAGGAGAAGTCACCACACGCGTCGGTTCTACCGCGCAGACGCCGGGCGGGAGCTCTTTCGTTGACTTGGGGGCATGCGTGTATGTTGAACCATGCGGAGCCAACAAAATAATATCACAACGCACAGCTCAAGGGAACCTAACTGGCACCCGTGATCTCTGTCACACGAGTGATCGTGGATATGTGAAGGCTTGTTTTCCTGTCGTAGGAACACAAAAAAAAGTATTTATCATTTAACAAGGTTGAACTGGGCGTGATAATGTATGTATGTTGAACTTCTTTCGCTCGTACGTGCTAATATGAGGTGCGGAGTAAGGGCAACAAACTAAACGCAAAAAGTACTTTTATAAACATGAGTTTGGGTTCAGTGTACAGGATGAGAATGCCATGGCAGCAATCGTGTCCACGAGCGGTCAAAGAAGCCGAGGTGGAAATTCCACATCCCTATGGCGGAAGCTGGCCTGTTCAAAGAACCCTCACTTTTGCCTTTTTGACTAAGCGGTACTAATTTTGTACACCGAACTGGGAAGATGTTGATGTTGGTGATGATGATTGGCTCCTAAATTGATGCTGCCGGGCTTTGGAGGTTGTGATCTGCCTGGCAGTGAGGCTCACTTGCTCCCTTGAGCCACTTCACCCGGATTTTAATAATAATAATTTACATTTGTGAAGTGGTGCATTTCATCCTTAGATTCCTAACGCAACCACCGTGGATGGAAAGCCAGTAAACAAACAGAACCTGCACAGGTTAAAACCGCCAGAACTAGGACGTAAAGACCAGTTTACAGAGGCGAGTTTTCAAGATAGGACTTAAACAGCTCTAACGACTCCCATTGTGCAGTCCAGCAATGTTTTCATTGTGCCACTGCCAGAATGAAAAATACATTTGCCGAATTGAAAAATAAATAGAAAATACGTAGCAAGTGCCACTGCTGGATCCCACGCACTCTCGCCCGCTCGCCCGCCCACTCGCGCGCCTCCGATGTAGCACGGTTGGCTACGTACGGTGCGAAGGAAGTGCAACGTACACACAGTGCACACACCGGCCCACTTACTGGAAGGGCCCTCCGTGAGCGCGCCGTCCTAGACAGCGCCGCTGGATTGTACACTTTGGCCTAGGCTGGCGTGACACGCCAAGAAAGGGGGTGCGAGCGACAACGCAATTGACCCACCCACACGCGGCCTGCCAAGCGACGCCGCGTGGACAAGAGGCGACGGAGGGGGGAGAACTTTCATGAAGTGGGCCCATTAATTTACTTTTAACCTGCGACCTCTGGATTGCAAGCCTAGCATTGGTTACCATCACACCATGGGGGCATCATCACACAGTTGTAACGTATGCTTGTATTTTTTCTTTAATCATCTTGGATATCCTTGCGGAATAATCAGCAATAATACGCCAGGCATGTGCATTCACGCGGCTCACCTTGTCGGTGCAGTCCATGGCGATGATGCTTTCGCACGAGTCTGCGGCACAAAGCACAGAGCGGGTTTTTTGTCGTTGCATCGCTCGAGAAAAAAAAAAAAACGCACGCAGCATTGAGATTGAGGGTGGGAGGCAAAATACCGGCAGCACACCTACACGATCCACCGACCTGGCTAGACGCCTCTCTATACTCTTTGGTTCTATTGGCTAAAGTCACGTAGGTGAAAATGTGATTTTTTTTGCTATTTTATTTTCACCTACGTGACTTTACCCAATAGAACCAAAGAGTATGGATCCTAGCAGTCACGAAAGCTTTAAATCTAGACGCCTCTCACCAAGCGCTGGCGTTGATTGTTAACTCCAGAAACACTGTCCCAATGAGACAGCAAATATTACAGCGGGTTTTTTTTCCTTCCTTTTGGGCTATTTTTTATTACGTATGTTACTAAATTACTCAATCCCTCCTACTTCTTTCCTAATTTTACATTGCCAAGGCTCACTGAGCTATGAAGTGCTTTTTCAGAAGCAACCTGGCCACAAGTGATCACTCAACGAAGTGGCTTATCACGTGGAAATGTATACCAGACAAATGCCCATGAGACCACGGGGAGAGAGACATGCGAACTCCAAATATACAGACGTCAGGGTTGTGATCGAACCCACGATGTCCTGCATACCAGGTGAGGTAGTCACCTCGTCACCACAGTGCCCCAATTGCCTACTCGCTCACTCACTCAACCACTTATCCATCTGACTCACCTGTTCCACCAAATCAGTTTACCCGAGTTGCCCACTTCCTCACATACCAACCCACAGATCCCACTTGCTCGATCGCTCACTCACAACCACTCATCCACCCATCCACCCTGTCCACCCACCAAGTGACCTCATCCACTAAACCACAAACTCACCCATCGACTCACCTCCCTGCCCCCCTCACTCACCTACCCACTCACTCATGCTCTCACTCACTCACTCAACTACCAATCCACACACCTAAAACACTTACCTCATCCACAAAGCGACTAACTTACCCACCTATTCACACAATCCACAAGATCCACCCACTTACAACCCCACCCACTCACTCATGTGTCCATTCACTAACTCATTCATCCACTCGCCAACCCACTCACCCATTCACTCAAAAACCCACCCACCCATTACCTACCTCAGTCACTCATCTACCCACCCATCCACTCACTCACTCACTCACCCACCCACCCAACCAACCACCTCACTAATCTGCTCATCCACTCACGCACTCACCCACCTACCCACCCAACCATTCACCTCACTAACCTGCTCATCCACTCACTCACTCACCCACCCAACCATTCACCTCACTAACCTGTTCATTCGCTCACTCACTCATCCACCCACACCCAACCAATCACCTCACTAACCTGCTCACTCATTCACTCACCCACTCACTCACTCACTCACCCACCCACTCACTCACTCACCCACTCACTCACCCACTCACCCACCATCCCAAAAAAACATTCACCTCACTAACCTGCTCATTCACTCATTCATTTACTCACCCACCCACCCAACCAACCATTCACCTCACTAACCTGCTCATTCACTCACTCACTCACCCACCCAACCATTCACCTCACTAACCTGCTCATTCACTCACTCACTCACCCACCCAACCATTCACCTCACTAACCTGCTCATTCACTCACTCACTCACCCACCCACCCACCCAACCATTCACCTCACTAACCTGCTCACTCACTCACTCACCCACCCACCCAACCATTCACCTCACTAACCTGCTCATTCACTCACTCACCCACCCACCCAACCAACCATTCACCTCACTAACCTGCTCACTCACTCACTCACCCACCCACCCAACCAACCATTCACCTCACTAACCTGCTCACTCACTCACTCACCCACCCAACCATTCACCTCACTAACCTGCTCACTCACTCACTCACCCACCCACCCAACCAACCATTCACCTCACTAACCTGCTCATTCACTCACTCACCCACCCACCCAACCATTCAGCTCACTAACCTGCCCACTCACTCACCCACCCACCCAACCATTCACTTCACTAACCTGCTCATTCACTCACCCACCCAAACATTCACCTCACTAACCTGCTCATTCACTCACCCACCCACCCACCCATTCACCTCACTAACCTGCCCACTCACTCACTCACCCACCCACCCACCCATTCACCTCACTAACCTGCTCATCCACTCACTCACTCACCCACCCACCGAACCATTCACCTCACTAACCTGCTCATTCACTCACCCACCACCCACCCACCCAACCATTCACCTCACTAACCTGCCCACTCACTCACTCACCCACCCACCCACCCATTCACCTCACTAACCTGCTCACTCACTCACCCACCCACCCAACCATTCACCTCACTAACCTGCTCACTCACCCACCCACCCACCCATTCACCTCACTAACCTGTTCATTCGCTCACTCACTCACCCACCCACCCAACCAACCATTCACCTCACTAACCTGCTCATTCACTCACTCACTCACCCACCCACCCATTCACCTGACTAACCTGTTCATTCGCTCACTCACCCACCCACCCACCCAACCATTCACCTCACTAACCTGTTCATTTGCTCACTCACTCACCCACCCACCCACCCATTCACCTCACTAACCTGCTCATTCACTCACTCACTCACCCACCCACCCATTCACCTCACTAACCTGCCCACTCACTCACTCACCCACCCACCCACCCATTCACCTCACTAACCTGCTCATTCACTCACTCACCCACCCACCCAACCATTCACCTCACTAACCTGCTCATTCACTCACTCACCCACCCAACCATTCACCTCACTAACCTGCTCACTCACTCACCCACCCACCCAACCATTCACCTCACTAACCTGCTCACTCACTCACCCACCCACCCAACCATTCACCTCACTAACCTGCTCATTCACTCACTCACCCACCTACCCAACCATTCACCTCACTAACCTGCCCACTCACTCACTCACTCACCCACCCACCCACCCATTCACCTCACTAACCTGCTCACTCACTCACCCACCCACCCAACCATTCACCTCACTAACCTGCTCATTCACTCACTCACCCACCCACCCAACCATTCACCTCACTAACCTGCTCACTCACTCACCCACCCACCCAACCATTCACCTCACTAACCTGCTCATTCACTCACTCACCCACCCACCCAACCATTCACCTCACTAACCTGCTCACTCACTCACCCACCCACCCAACCATTCACCTCACTAACCTGCTCATTCACTCACTCACCCACCCACCCAACCATTCACCTCACTAACCTGCTCACTCACTCACCCACCCACCCAACCATTCACCTCACTAACCTGCTCACTCACTCACCCACCCACCCAACCATTCACCTCACTAACCTGCTCATTCACTCACTCACCCACCCACCCAACCATTCACCTCACTAACCTGCTCATTCACTCACCCACCCACCCAACCATTCACCTCACTAACCTGCTCATTCACTCACTCACTCACCCACCCACCCAACCATTCACCTCACTAACCTGCTCACTCACTCACCCACCCACCCAACCATTCACCTCACTAACCTGCTCACTCACTCACCCACCCACCCAACCATTCACCTCACTAACCTGCTCATTCACTCACTCACCCACCCAACCATTCACCTCACTAACCTGCTCACTCACTCACCCACCCACCCAACCATTCACCTCACTAACCTGCTCACTCACTCACCCACCCACCCAACCATTCACCTCACTAACCTGCTCATTCACTCACTCACCCACCTACCCAACCATTCACCTCACTAACCTGCCCACTCACTCACTCACCCACCCACCCACCCATTCACCTCACTAACCTGCTCACTCACTCACCCACCCACCCAACCATTCACCTCACTAACCTGCTCATTCACTCACTCACCCACCCACCCAACCATTCACCTCACTAACCTGCTCATTCACTCACTCACCCACCCACCCAACCATTCACCTCACTAACCTGCTCACTCACTCACCCACCCACCCAACCATTCACCTCACTAACCTGCTCACTCACTCACCCACCCACCCAACCATTCACCTCACTAACCTGCTCATTCACTCACTCACCCACCCACCCAACCATTCACCTCACTAACCTGCTCATTCACTCACCCACCCACCCAACCATTCACCTCACTAACCTGCTCATTCACTCACTCACTCACCCACCCACCCAACCATTCACCTCACTAACCTGCTCACTCACTCACCCACCCACCCAACCATTCACCTCACTAACCTGCTCACTCACTCACCCACCCACCCAACCATTCACCTCACTAACCTGCTCATTCACTCACTCACCCACCCAACCATTCACCTCACTAACCTGCTCACTCACTCACCCACCCACCCAACCATTCACCTTACTAACCTGCTCACTCACTCACCCACCCACCCAACCATTCACCTCACTAACCTGCTCATTCACTCACTCACCCACCTACCCAACCATTCACCTCACTAACCTGCCCACTCACTCGCTCATCCACCCACCCACCCATTCACCTCACTAACCTGCTCACTCACTCACCCACCCACCCAACCATTCACCTCACTAACCTGCTCATTCACTCACTCACCCACCCACCCAACCATTCACCTCACTAACCTGCTCACTCACTCACCCACCCACCCAACCATTCACCTCACTAACCTGCTCATTCACTCACTCACCCACCCACCCAACCATTCACCTCACTAACCTGCTCACTCACTCACCCACCCACCCAACCATTCACCTCACTAACCTGCTCATTCACTCACTCACCCACCCACCCAACCATTCACCTCACTAACCTGCTCACTCACTCACCCACCCACCCAACCATTCACCTCACTAACCTGCTCACTCACTCACCCACCCACCCAACCATTCACCTCACTAACCTGCTCATTCACTCACTCACCCACCCACCCAACCATTCACCTCACTAACCTGCTCATTCACTCACCCACCCACCCAACCATTCACCTCACTAACCTGCTCATTCACTCACTCACTCACTCACCCACCCACCCAACCATTCACCTCACTAACCTGCTCATTCACTCACTCACCCACCCACCCACCCACTCACCTCACTAACCTGCTCACTCACTCACCCACCCACCCAACCATTCACCTCACTAACCTGCTCACTCACTCACCCACCCACCCAACCATTCACCTCACTAACCTGCTCATTCACTCACTCACCCACCCACCCAACCATTCACCTCACTAACCTGCTCATCCACTCACTCACCCACCCACCCAACCATTCACCTCACTAACCTGCTCACTCACTCACTTACCCACCCACCCAACCATTCACCTCACTAACCTGCTCATTCACTCACTCACCCACCCACCCACCCACTCACCTCACTAACCTGCTCACTCACTCACCCACCCACCCAACCATTCACCTCACTAACCTGCTCACTCACTCACTTACCCACCCACCCAACCATTCACCTCACTAACCTGCTCATTCACTCACTCACTCACCCACCCACCCACACATTCACCTCACTAACCTGCCCACCCACCCACCCAACCATTCACCTCACTAACCTGCTCATTCACTCACAGATTCGCTCATTCAACCACCTGCTGATGCCCTCTCGTCACGGGATGAAACCCTCACCTCCGTCGGCGAGGTCCCGCAGGGAGCCGCTGAGGTTGCCCCTCCTCATGGACGGCCGCTCCTCCGCCGCCGGGATGCAGCTGTCATCGAGGCTGCCCCGTGGGATGCTGCCCAGGCTGCCCTGGTGCTGCCCCCCCTTGCCATCGCGGCCCGGGGAAGAAGGCGGCCGGACCCCCATGTTCTGCTTCTCCAGCTCGGCTGGCGGGGTGAGAAGGGCACGCGCCGCTGGGCCACAGGCGCAACTCCTCCTGCTGCTGCTGCACGCTGCTGCTGCACACTGCTGCTGCACACTGCACGCTGCTGCTGCACACTGCTGCTGCACGCTGCTGCCGCACACTGCTGCCGCACGCTGCTGCCGCACACTGCTGCTGCACACTGCACGCTGCTGCTGCACGCTGCTGCTGCACGCTGCTGCTGCACGCTGCTGCTGCACACTGCTGCTGCACGCTGCTGCTGCACGCTGCACGCTGCTGCACACTGCTGCACACTGCTGCTGCACGCTGCACGCTGCTGCTGCACGCTGCTGCTGCACACTGCTGCTGCACGCTGCACGCTGCTGCACACTGCTGCTGCACACTGCACGCTGCTGCACACTGCTGCTGCACGCTGCACGCTGCTGCTGCACGCTGCTGCTGCACACTGCTGCTGCACGCTGCTGCTGCACGCTGCTGCACACTGCTGCACACTGCTGCACGCTGCTGCTGCACACTGCTGCTGCACACTGCTGCTGCACGTTGCTGCTGCACGTTGCTGCTGCACGCTGGACGCTGCTGCTGCATGCTGCTGCACGCTGCTGCTGCACACTGCACGCTGCTGCTGCACGCTGCTGCTGCACACTGCTGCTGCACACTGCTGCTGCACACTGCTGCTGCACACTGTACGGCGCTGCGGTTCCCTCCACCTAACGACGGACGCTCTCAGCGCGTCGCGTGGCGCTTTCACACGCACTCCTGCGGCCGTCTGGAACGCTCTCCCTTCCGATATTAGGAAGCCACTGGAGCTAGGCACTTTTAAATCATCATCTACATTGACAAACTCATTTCGTTTGAAGTAATGTTTGTCTTTAGGTTGTTGTCCTTCTCCCGCACCTCCGATTCGCGCAGTTGGCCACATACGGTGCGAAAGAAGCTCAACATATATACATATGTACCTCTTTGTCCAAGTTCTTACGAGCCCTGCTCCATTCAAGCAACACGTTACACCCACGTTCACGATTGGACAATCGGCACGCCCCTCCTACACCCGACACACGCAAGTCGAGCAGCCACGTGAACAAAACGTGGCGATTGAGATTGCGCTCATGTCAGACCCCACCAGCACCACCTCGCGAGGGTTAAGGAACGTTCAGTGGATGATCGGGGCAACGTCGCCGGAGGGAGCGATCGCTGGCGGGGCCATCGCAACGACAGGACGACAGCCGAAGGACGGAGCACGCCTGAGAGAGCGTGCCCGGCGTGGACTTCACGGAGAGGAGGGGGGGAGAGGAGGGGGAGGGGGGGGAGAGGGGGAGAAGAGGAGGGGGAGGAGGGGGAGAGGGGGAGAAGAGGAGGGGGAGGAGGGGGAGAGGGGGAGAAGAGGAGGGGGAGGGAGAAGAGAGGAGGAGGAGGGGGGGAGAGGAGGAGGAGAGGAGGGGGAGAGGAGGGGAGAGGAGGGGGAGAGGAGGGGGAGGGGGGGGGAGAGGAGGGGGAGAGGAGGAGGAGGGGGGAGAGGGGGGGAGAGGAGGGGGAGAGGAGGGGGAGAGGAGGGGGAGGAGGGGAGAGGGGGGGGAGAGGAGGGGGAGAGGAGGGGGAGAGGGGGGGAGAGGAGGAGGGGGAGGGAGAGGAGGGGGAGAGGAGGGGGAGAGGAGGGGGAGGGGGGGGAGAAGAGGAGGGGAAGAGGAGGTGGGAGCGACTGGGCTCATGCTCAGCACACTGCATTGCCTGGCACGGCCATTCCGTGCCTCCTCCGGAGCCTCCTCCAGATTCACCACCCAGTCACACCTCTCTGTCAGAATCCCATCTCTCTGCAGCAATTCGAGGGCTGAATTGATTGGGCTTCTTTGAAAGTGCGAAAATCACATTGCCTTCATCCCTCAAAACTTTTATTATCCCGAGAAAAAGGGGGGATTGGTGGGGGGGGTTAGGCAGGAGGGAAATCGTGATCCAGTACTTCATTTTATCATGGGACCTTTTTGCCACGATCAAAGCATGAGAAGTAAGAATAGGTGTTTACTTGTTCTGGCAATAAAACAGGAGGTGTTAAGATGTTCAAACACCAAATAGAAACTGCTGACAAGGAATCAAGTAGTGCATTAACCGCACGTAGCTGTGCAGAACATGCAAACAAACTCTGATAGTGTGTGCATTGTCTTTGAAACGTATTGGCCTACACCAGAGACGGCCTTCTTCATGACCTAGTCTCACCGGTGTCGGACCAAAGAACGCCGAAAGGCCAATCAGTCTCAAAGAAAATGCACAACATTATCAGAGTTTGTTTGCATGTTCACCACAGGACCGTGTGGTTATTGCCGAATTGACTGCTTGCAAAAAGAAAACTACTACATTATAAAAGCCCCTTTCACCTCCGTGTCACACAGCCCCCCCCCCACACACCCCCAATGTTCCCCCTGAATCCAACCGGAGAAAAAATTCGCATTTTGCGAATTCGGCGGCGGCGGCGGCGGCACTGGGAGGCGGCACTGGGAGGCTTCTCTAATCCACTCGCGTCACGTGCTGTGTAACAACGCGGCGGACGGGTGGACGCATGCAATTGTGCTCGTGTGCGTGTACGAGTGTGCGCATGCACTCACGCTCCTACGGAACACCGCGTGCGTGTGAGCGAGCGTGGCAGCGGTTCCCATAGTGGTCGGTATGCTGCCTTCACTTCCCGCTCACGGCCGACACCCAGTGACAATTATCTGAACCGATCCTGGGCCTACCGTAGGTCGACTCGGCCTCAAATTACTACCTGGTATAGTGTGTAAACATCACCACTGGGGAGACAAAGGCGGCCGGGCGTGGAATTGTCCACCCACCCCCTCTCGTATGTAGTGCTGGACTTCATTGGTGCTCGCTAACAGCACTTGCCCTAACAGTCTGTTACAGGCTATACGGGGGATCTTTGTCTTTGTGTGCACACACACTATGTAACAGCACGTGTGTGAGTACATGGGGAGCTGCAGTGTAGCGGTTAGCGCTACGCCGCGCTACAAACTCAGTGACCCGAGTTTGATTCCCGCTCACGGCCAACACCAATGACGATTATCGTAACCGGTCCCGAGCCTCAAGTAGGTCGACTCGGCCTCAAATGAGTACCTGGTGCGGTGTATAAACATTTCCACGAGGGAGACGGAGGCAGCCCAGAGTGGTGTCGGCTAGACCAACTCTCGTGTGCCGTGCCGGCCTTTATAGGTGCTCGCTAACAGCACTTGTCCCAACAGTCTGTTAAAGGCTATACGGAAGATCTGTCTTTTATTGGCACCACAGAAAGCCGTATAAAACACGAACAGCACAGTTACCAAAGTTGAATTTGTGACTGTGATGCACAGCGCTAGCGGCAACATGGACCTGAACCTCACCTCCCTTAGGTTCACTCGGCCTAAAGCCGCGCCAGGGTCAGAGTGTAATCATTGAACGTCAGTCGTCGTGGAAACAAAGGCAACATGGCTTGCGTGGTGTGCATCCAGTGGAATTGGCCTTAGCAGGCTCTCGCGAATGCACACGCGCGTCAGTGTTCAAGTAAAATATCGCACGCGACGGTGCGAGCGAAACGCTACTTTGACAGATTCGGGCTTTGAGCGTGGTAGAGCACGCGGGACGCCTTTTCACGTCGGATTACAACCTCGCAACAAAACACAAAAAAACCATTCAAGCCTCAGGTAAAGTGGTTATTTTAGAACACAATACATGTCCAAAGAAATGCCAGACTCCACATCGAAAGCTCGCAATACCACCTACAGCAGGCACCGCTGGAAGGACTCGACAGAGGCAAGAGATAACCTTCATTTTAAAGGTCGCGGGAGCGGAGTTAGCAGGGTGGCTCAAAACCTCGTCAGGTCACGAGCACGCCACCCGGTGACAGATCCCCCCCCCACCCCACCCCCCCCCGGGAGTTTCACATCCACTGTTTGGCCACCCCGAAATGTTCACGAGGGGTTTCCTTGTGTACGGCGAGTTGATGGTTTCGGCCTGGTCACCCAATGACTTGCGGTTGCGGTGACAGCCAACTTTCCCCCCCCCCACACCCCCCCACCGCTCCCGGTGATATGAAGAACGTCACCATCGGCAAGATCGGCAGAGAGGCGGAGAAGCAAGTATTTTGTGAAGCTCACGATGCACAAACCACGTCACCTTCGCGATAGCTGTCGCAGTATTCGAATGGCGCACGCTATGATTATTATTATGATAAAACACGTATGCTTATTATATTCTTGGTTCTTTCGGTAAAGTCACGTAGAAGGGAAACAATAAAATTAGAAAACAATAAAATTCTCACGACGTTTTGACTGCAACACAAGCCATCATCATCATCAGGTGTGATAACCACAGCATATTTTCTTGCAAATTTTCTTGCTGTGGTTTTCACACCTGATGATGATTTTCTTGCTGTGGTTTTGCCCACTTACTCTCCTTAATGGTCAACAATGACGGCCGGGTCCAAACCTTCAACTTGTTACATGTATATATGTATAAAAAAAAAGGCAAATATTACAAAAAGAAAAAAGTGTTTTTTTTTTACTTAATGCATGTCGAACTTATTTCGCACCGTACGTAGCAAACCGTGCTAATTGGAGGCGCTGCTATGTCTGGGAAGGGTAGCACCTTCACGATGACCTCGCGGCTACGAGAATGGCGCAAATACCAAAACACACGGACGATTAGATCACCCTGGAAAAATGGAGCGTTGACTTGCGGGCAAAGATGCAAGCGCCCCCCTCCCCCCTCCCCCCCACCCCCACCTCGCAATTGCTTGCTCGCGGTCACCGCCGGCGGAAGCGCACCGCCCCCGCCCCGCGAAGGAACTGCTCGGCCTCCCCTCTTCCGTGACGCCGCATCGCCGCGGGTTACCTTCAATGCGCACGCGGTCCATCTCGTGCACCTCGGAGATGCACTCTTGGAGCTCGCGCGAGAAGCGCCAGCGGTCCTCCAGGCTCGGCACGGCGAAGTTGCCCAGCGTACTCACGTCGAGCCCGGGGGCGGCCGACACCAGCGACAGGCCGAACGAGTAGTCTGGCGCGCGAGAGGGCGGAAGGGCGTTCAAGCGCAAACAAATAAATAAACTCACACATGACGTAGTGCCGTCCGGGTACAAGTGTAATCAGAATATTTATTGATATTGGGGGGGAATGCGATGAGGCTCTTTCGCACACGTGCCCAGGAGGCACGCAGGTCAGAAGGTTGCAGCAACAAACAATACGTAAAACACGATGAGAGTGCAAAGTACAGGAAATCAAAGCAAATCACACAAAAACATCAATAATAGTGAAAAAATGTTTGACTCAAAACAAACTAAAAAAAAAGAATTAACAGGCCAAGCCCACAAAGGGGCCCTGGCTGCATTAGTGAGTGGGCGAGTGGATGAGTGACAGGGACAGTGGAGTGGGCCTGAGTGTATCGGAGGGTTGGTGGGTGAGCGATTAATTAAGTAGCTCTGATGCAGAAGGCGATACAAATTCCACATTACGATGGCCGAGGCGAGGCACGTATGGCGTATTTTGAACTTCCTTTGTTGTCAACCGTGCTACTCCGTGGTGCAGGACATATTTTAGGATGTACTCTATTCATATGTATGAATTGCATTCAATTGTATTCAAATGCACCTTTAAAATATGTACGGTATGTGTGTGCATATATATAAAAATCCAAGGATCTCCCGTATAGCCTTAACAGACTGTAGGAGCAAGTGCTGTTAGCGAGCACCTATGAAGGCTGGCACGGCACACGAGGAGGTGGGTGGCCACTACCACGCCCGGCCGCCTTTGTCTCCCTAGTGGCGACGTTTACACACCGCACCAGGTACTCATTTGAGGCGGAGTCGACCTAGGGGAGTACTAGAATCGGTTCGGAAATCGTCACTGGTGTTGGCCGTGAGCGGGAATTGAACTCGGGTCACCGGGTTTGTAGTGCAGCGCGCTAACCGCTGCACCACCGCTCCCACACGTGTATATATATACACACACACGTTCGTTTTGTTCCTGCACATCGTGATTTTAGTTCGGCATCTTGAGATGCAGTGACATTTCGACATCATATATATAAATCCAAAGCCTTTTGTGTTGCATCGCACTGAGATAAGCAAAAGCACTCAAAAACCATGGCTCGCTGTCTGCACAGTGCACGTTCAGCATTGCCGCTCACTCACATTGGTTTTCAAAGTGCAGCACTTGCATCCCATAGAGGCTGAACGCCTGCCGGAAACTGTACGTGCTGCCCTGTTTTCGCCGCTGCAAAATCTTGGTCACCTGATTGGAAGAGGGCGGCCCCCGGAGAGAATTAAACAAAACACTAACCTGTAACGGAGATCAGCGAAATCTCATTCACCCTTTCCCGTTTCGAGACGTCGGCAAGTTTGCAGGGTGGGTGGTGTCCCGTTCATCACAGAATCTCGGAACGAACGAGCGGTTCAGTGTTAATTTGATTTAGAGAGGCGTAGCACCGTTGTTTTTAAAGGCATTGTACTCACCGCAGAGAACTGTAGCGACATGACCGCATTACTCTATGATTTCTGGCGCCGAAATTGTGCCACACGCCCTCCTGCATGGCCTTGTGGGAGCCTCAATACCGACAGCGTTTTTTTTTTTATTTTACTTGATGATGCTCAAATATTCCATTTGTGCATCATCAAGTATCATAAATGGTGAAAAATAAAACATTCAGGGGGAGCCGAGGACTGGCATCTTTCTCTTTATGAATTAAATGTAATTATATTTGAAAATACATTTTCTTGACAATGAACATCCAGGAAAGAGGACAGCATGTTGGAGAGTGGACAGGTCCGAGATCATTGAGTCACTGATCGGGTTCTGCTGAACGTTCTGCTGCCAAGTCCTTGCTTCGAGACCTCGCGCCGTTTTAAAAATCGCGTTTGAACGTCAAACCGGCAAAACGATTAAGGGGAAAAGCTACTTAAATTTAAAAGCTTTGTGGCGCGTTGCTTATCGACGTATACTCTTTGGTTGTCAGGTCAAACAAACTGCCGCCTCGCAGACTGCGTCTGCGGTTCCTCCGCGATCGAGAGATACAATTCGCGAGAATGACGGCGAGCCGCATGCACAGAAAAAGCTAAAACACTCCGTTATCATTATTAATAAGACACAACATGTTATTCCAACTCGTGGCACGCGACCATCGGGCCCCCCCCCCCCCCGGCTCGCAGCAGCTGCGTGGCCGGGCGGGGTGGGGCGAGGGGTGGTGCGAGTGGGAGGGAGGCGGGGTGGAGGGGGCTGAATGGGGGGGGGGGGGGGCAGGCTCCCCCACAGTTACCACGAGGAGGTCGTTGAAGAGGAAGACCTCGCGCTGGTGCAGCCCGGCCCTCTGCGCTCGCGTCACGTCGGGCACCTCGAACAGCCGGCACAGGCACACCAGGCGGCGGTGGGGCAGCGACAACACCTGGAGGGTGGACGGACGGCAACGTCAAGGAAGGACGGGGAGAGGAAAATAACTATCATTCAAGTAATTGAATGATACAGCAAACGATTTTTTTTTATCTGTACCAAGCCAGGCCCACCGAGCTAGTATAGCTCTTTTTCAGAAGCGACCTGGCCACAAACGATAGCTCGACCAAGTGGCTTATCTTCACGTGGAAATTCGTAGCAGCCAAATACCCTAAGCACATGTCGATTCTAAATGTGGAGAGAAAAACCAGAGGACCCGGACAAAAATGCATGCGCACACAGGGAGAGAGAACACGGAAACTCCAATTACACGGGCGTTCAGGGTCGGGATCGAATCCACAATCTCCTGTATACGAGGTAAGGGAGATAACATCTCGTCATCGCAGCGCCCGTTTTACATTCTCAACAACAACAACAACCACCTACCCATGAAGCGAGACCTCAACAATGTCACCTCGTCGCACATTTGAGTCCCGACCCTCCTTCCTGCGCATCGTGCTGTCACCATCCTAGGAACGCTCCATGCGCGGTAGACATCCTTTCCCTCTTTGCATTCCCCCATAGGCTTGCCTATCAACTCCACCGTCATTACACGTGACCAAGTTGCACCGCACGATTACACTATCAAGAATAATAATGAGAAAAACGGTTTCACAAATGAACAGCATGAGCACAGCACAGCCTCACCCCGCCCCCCACCCCACCACCCACTGCTGTGAATTGCAACATCGACATGCACACAACGTTGACTCAAGTGGACGCCGAATAGGCAGTAAGCCGCGGACGGACGACGCATCGTCAATAACAGCTCCAAGTGCGCTTACATCAAAAAGTGGCGATTTTGAGACTCGGCAGGCAGTGGTCGTGGGGGTTAGCGGCGGACGGAAGAAGGATTAGCATTGCAATAGGATTTCTCTCAAGCGGAGCAACAATTCACCTGCCGTGCCCCCACCCCCCCACCACCACCTTGGCGAATACACAAATAGAGTTGGGAACAAGGTGGCGAGATGTTAACTAGCCCACCTAGTATACAGCATGTCGTGGGTTCGATCCCCACCCTGGCGCCCGTATATTTGGGAGTTTGCATGGTCTCTCTCTGGCTCTCTCTCGCCCCGTGGCCGCGCGGCTCTTTCTCCGTGTCCTCCGTTGTTCTTCCCCCCCCCCTGCACCATTTAGAATCGACGTGGGTTCGGCGTATTTGGCCGCGAGAAATTTCCACTGTGATGATAAGCCACTTCTCGTTGGGCGATCATTTGTGGCCAGGGCCCTTCTGAAAAAGCGGCATATAGCCAAGTGGTGGGGCCTTACCTGGCAAAAATAAAAAAAAGGTTCAGTTTTATTGTTCACGCAGAGTCGGTGCTGCGGGAAGGGAGAGCTCCCGCCGCCGGAAGCGATCTTGGCTTTATTCTGGCTTACTTTACGCGCTCTGTGAACACGCCGCGCTTTCTTTGCGGCTTCAGCCCGCTCGCCCGAGCCTCGGAAGGGCGCCACTTTAGCCGTCTGGCAGCGCCGCCTGACAGCGGCAAACGCTCCGCGCCTGTCGCGAGTAATTGGCCGAGAGAGGCCTCGGATAATGGGTTACAAATGCTCGTAATAGGCCCGTTTCAGAGACCCCCGTAATTTTTTTTTAGCCTCCTACCAAATTGTGGGGGGGCGGGGTGGGGAGCCACACGTCGTGGTAGGGTGCCGATGCCGTTAATATTCAGCAATCGGGTTGCGGGGGGCGGGAGGGAGTAGGGGGGGGCGGCCAATGCAGATAATGTGACTGGACGTGAGGTGACTGGAGCTGCACGTGTGTGGCCTAGGGAGACAAAGGCGGCCGGGCGTGGCGCTGGCCACCCACCCCCTCGTGTGCCGTGCCGGCCTTCGTAGGCGCTGCTCGCTAACAGCACTTTCCCCAACAGTCTGTTAAGGCTATATGGGGGGGATCTTTGTTTGTTGTTGTGCGTTGACGTAGCGCCGAGGGCGTCCGCGGACCTTAAAACACCGCGGCGCGCAGACTGACGAGCGTGGGCCCACGGTGAGCCTCCCTTATCCACATCAACGTGGCCACAATAACCCCAACGCCGACGTGGTCAGTCTCACGTCCACCAGACCGACTCCATTTAGCTACAAGGTGGACCACATTTCCACAGAGACTGCAGCAAAGTGAGCCACGAGAACCACACTGCAAGCCGAACTCAGCCAACGTAAGCAGACTCGATCCAATGTAAACCTGACTGGCAGAATGTAAAGTAAACTGATCAGGTATAAAAAAACTCACCGTAAGACTAAACACATGTCAAACTTAAACATGTAGTCCCATTTAAGCAAGGCTGACCCGAGGTGATCTAGAATACTCACCTAATGCAAAGAAGACTACAAAATGTAAACCAGACCAGACTGACTCAATGTGAAGAAAACAGGAAACTAGCCAAACAGTGATTTAAAGCTTTCGTGACTGCAGTGGTTCATATTCTTGGTTAGTTCGGTAAAGTCACGTTGAAGGGAAACAATAAAATAATAATATATATATAACAATTATATATATATTTTATTGCTTCTCTTCAACGTAACTTTACCGAAAGAACCAAGAATATATAGCCAAACAGTGTAAACCAAGCAGCCCAAATCCATACTTTTTATTTTTTTTCTACGGCTGACGTGGATGCAGATCAACAACTTACAGGACCAACGCAAACCCGGCTGAGTGAACGCAAACTTCACCGGAGTGCCGATGGACAAAGGGAGCGAACCGTAACCGGGGTGGGGGGGCCGATACGCTCGCCGGACCGTACCGGCCGGCGCCCCACGATGGTGGCCTCCACCGCCACCACCTGGGTCACGTGATCCGGGTCGGTGGCCAGCTCCTGCTTGCGGATCCGTTCGTAGATCCCGACGAGGAAGTCCCGTGGGATGTCCTCCCCGTCGTCCACGCCTGCGCACGGACGGGGCCGTGGGGGGGAGAGATGCGGGGCGAGCACGCTGTGACCTTCGCAGCGTCCGTGCGCGATCCGCCAACCCCCGCCGTGCTTCCGCAGCGCTGGACTTACAGGCATTGTGCCAATTCGTCTGTAACGTGCGCGTGCGCGCAGCAGCGGCTGGACATTGTGCCACTGCGGGCGCGGCAAGACGGTGGGGGGCCTGCCGCAGCGGAGATGGTGAGGTGAAATCGGCTCGCGTGCATGGTGCTCGAGCTGCACAGGTGTATGCGTGTTGAACTTCTTTCGCACCGTACGTAGCCAATTGTGCAAATCGGAAGTGCGGGGAAGCACAACAAACCGGGGGCATCGTTACACTGCAGGGCCGTGAGATATGGCGACGGCTTGCGGAGATATTGGATTGATCATGGCCGATGACTATTTTAAACGGCCCTGCGAGGTGCATCGGGTAACTCAGTGGTGCGGTTCACCCACCCCGTCTCCCCTGGGCCAGCGATTGTCTCTAGTGACGGCTCCAGAGCTAGCAGTGGAAACTCCACATTATCGTAGGTATGCCAGTAACATGGAAATTTAGTCTTCGAACCCGAGAGCAACCTGCTTTGTTGTAACCGTTTTGGTGGTGGCGATGACAATGATTGCACCGATCGTAGTGGCGGCTACAATGCTGCTGTCACTCCTGCTCCTGCTATCACTGCCCCTGCTGCTGCTGCTGCTGCTGTCATTGCTACCGATACTGCTGTCACAACTGATAGTGCCGCTGCCGCCGCCGCCGCCGCCGTCGCCGCTGACCGCGCAGGTTCTTGATGAAGTCGTCGAGCCGCATCTTGCGGTCGTGCCGCACGCTGGGACTGTACATGTCGGTGTTGAGCAGCACGATGGCGAAGGCGAGCACGAACACCGTGTCCTCGCTGCACAGGGCCGACACCACCGCCGGGTTGCACGCGCAGTAGCGCCGACTTGGGGCGGACGCGCGACGTACGCAGGAGAGACAAAAGCAAGGCAAAAGGTTCACCCACAATGACCCGTCCGCCCCCGCCGTGCGGTGGTCTGCACAGACCGTTGGGGCTGGTGCTGTTGAGTGGTGAGCAGCGCCTGTGAAGGCCGGCAAGCACGGCGCACGAGGAAGGGGTGGGGTGATCAGCACCAAGTGCTTGTTGTCCTTCCCCCGCACCTCCGATTAGCACGGTTGGTCACGTACGGTGCTCAAAAAGTTCAACGAAAATACATACATACACTCCCACGCGGTCTAAGCTCCCCTGTCTTTACCAGCCCGCATTGACCGCCGCATGTACAGTGAGGGAAAAAAGTATTTGATCCCCTGCTGATTTTGTACGTTTGCCCACTGACAAAGAAATGATCAGTCTATGATTTTAATGGTAGGTTTATTTGAACAGTGAGAGACAGAATAACAACAACAAAAATCCAGAAAAACGAATGTCAAAAATGTTATAAATTGATTTGCATCTTAATGACGGAAATAAGTATTTGACCCCCTCTCAATCAGAAAGATTTCTGGGTTCCAGGTGTCTTTTATACAGGTAACAAGCTGAGATTAGGAGCACACTCTTAAAGGGAATGCTCCTAATCTCAGCTTGTTACCTATATAAAAGACATCTGTCCACAGAAGCAATCAATCAATCAGATTCCAAATTCTCCACCATGGCCAAGACCAAAGAGCTCTCCAAGGATGTCAGGGACAAGATTGTAGACCTACACAAGGCTGGAATGGGCTACAAGACCATTGCCAAGCAGCTTGGTGAGAAGGTGACAACAGTTGGTGCGATTATTCGCAAATGGAAGAAACACAAAATAACTGTCAATCTCCCTCGGCCTGGGGCTCCATGCAAGATCTCATCTCGTGGAGTTGCAATGATCATGAGAACGGTGAGGAATCAGCCTAGAACTACATGGGAGGATCTTGTCAATGATCTCAAGGCAGCTGGGACCATAGTCACCAAGAAAACAATTGGTAACACACTATGCCGTGAAGGACTGAAATCCTGCAGCGCCCGCAAGGTCCCCCTGCTCAAGAAAGCACATATACATGCCCGTCTGAAGTTTGCCAATGAACATCTGAATGATTCAGAGGACAACTGGGTGAAAGTGTTGTGGTCAGATGAGACCAAAATGGAGCTCTTTGGCATCAACTCAACTCGCCGTGTTTGGAGGAGGAATGCTGCCTATGACCCCAAGAACACCATCCCCACCGTCAAACATGGAGGTGGAAACATTATGCTTTGGGGGTGTTTTTCTGCTAAGGGGACAGGACAACTTCACCGCATCAAAGGGACGATGGACGGGGCCATGTACCGTCAAATCTTGGGTGAGAACCTCCTTCCCTTAGCCAGGGCATTGAAAATGGGTCGTGGATGGGTATTCCAGCATGATAATGACCCAAAACACACGGCCAAGGCAACAAAGGAGTGGCTCAAGAAGAAGCGCATTAAGGTCCTGGAGTGGCCTAGCCAGTCTCCAGACCTTAATCCCATAGAAAATCTGTGGAGGGAGCTGAAGTTTCGAGTTGCCAACCGTCAGGCCCCAAAATTTAGTGACTTCGAGAAGATCTGCAAAGAGGAGTGGGACAAAATCCCTCCTGAGATGTGTGCAAACCTGGTGGCCAACTACAAGAAACATCTGACCTCTGTGATTGCCAGCAAGGGTTTTGCCACCAAGTACTAAGTCATGTTTTGCAGAGGGGTCAAATACTTATTTCCCTCATTATAATGCAAATCAATTTATAACATTTTCGACATGCGTTTTTTCTGAATTCTTTTGTTGTTATTCTGTCTCTCACTGTTCAAATAAACCTACCATTAAAATCATAGACTGATCATTTCTTTGACAGTGGGCAAACGTACAAAATCAGCAGGGGATCAAATACTTTTTTCCCTCACTGTACACAAGTGGTGGTTATTCAACCAAACTGGTCCATGTGGGCTGGTAAAAACAGGGGAGCGTAGATCACGCGAGAGAGTGCAAGTACAGCTAGCGTCATCCACGGGGGGTTGCGGTGTCAGTGGCAAACTACGCACCCCGTGGGCCCCCTCACCCCGGCGCCTTCAAACTAAACCGAAAGCGTTACATCTGACCCCGTGACGTCGGAAGCGAGTGTCCCCCCTCAAAGCACGGCGCCCGGGGCGGTCGCCCCCAATTCGCCGGTTACCCCGAGTGACGGCTCCCGTGTACAGTCACCATCGGTCACGAGCCCCTGGCTGCAGCGGTCTCCATGAGACCGACCCATCTCTGTGTCTCACAGGCATCTTCCATTGCCACTTCCACCGCAACGTCGTCTCGATTTCATCTTTCGCGGCCTCGAGCGTTTCACAACCTAACATTTCCCGCTCTGCAGAAGCAATCCTCAGGTGAGCTCTGCTCAAAACGGAAACTTTCATTATAGTGACGGTAACGTTTTAGGTCGGAATCAGAATTGTTATTTATGCTGGAGGAATCCGATGAGCTGTAAAGCTCTTTTTCACAGATGTCCAGTCGGGGCGTTCTTCACGCCATTTGCATCTCGCAATCGCCAAGGAACCATGGGCGGGTTGGAAGGCATCCAGGCAGTGCGCGCTGGTGCCAACAATTTGCCCAAGCTCTGTGATCCTCTACGTTAAGATGTTTGCAGCCAATTACTTGAGTATTGAGGCATTGTACAGCATATCGAGGCACGGTCCCATTAACGTGCTATACATATTCCAAAGTATAATGCAGAATATGGAAAACAATTTTTTTACAGATTCCTGCATCGCGCAGCATTTCCGAAACACAAATATATGGAAACTGTCGCCTTGGTCAGCACTGACATTTGTTTACCCCAAGGCGGGCGCTTATGCCGTTATTTAAGATTTCAGGATTGATCGATGCACATTTTATAATTGCGAGCTAATTGCTGTATAATTTAAGGACAAATGATGGATAGATAAACTATGCACAAGTCCCCAAGATTAATTCCATAATCGTTGCAAGGTAATTGATGAGTGATTGATGCGTGGCTAATTCTTGCATGCCAATTTATGATAATTAAAAGGAACCCACTTATAGGTCACGCGTTTAATGAACAGTAGATTAAAAATAGAATCGCAACAGGATTTTTAAGGACTCATTACACCTTGTACCGTACACCTTACCTAAAAAGTAAACTTTGCAAAAAAAATACGAGCGGTTTATCAGCAGCGTTGTGGAACGTGTGCAAAACTTCGGTTTAAAATTAAGTCAGCTCGATGGGGCGCATTGCCTCAGCGGACTCAATGGCTGAGTCAGAGACACTGGACCAGAAATCCTGACCATTCTGAGTTCAAATCCAGGTTCAGGCCACCATTGATTCAACCAGGCGACCACGTGCGAGAATTGACTGGTCATAGCCCAGTCACAAATGTCTACACAATGTGTCCCTGAACAAGCAAGCACTGGCAGCCCCTAGCTTTTGGTGGAAATTCCACATTCCCATGACAGTGGCCAGTCTATCCAATGGACGACCGGCGTTGCCATCTCAAATATTTAAGGCTGTAACGGAGGATATTTTTTCGTCTCTTTCACACGTGCGGTTGCGTGCACACACGCGTGCACGTTCACGCGCGTGTGTGTGTGTACACGCACCACAGTCCCGGAGAATCATGCATGGATTGCCGGGAAACATTACGAGCACAACGCCGTAGACAATCGGCATTTTGAGACCCGCACTGGCCTCCCCCTAGGTCGACTCGGCCCGAAGTGCGCGATTCACCTGAAGACCTCCACAAGCCGCTCCACCTTCTGTGCCTCTCCCTGCAGTCGCACGTGCGTCTGGAACAGTCGCAGAGCCTCATCCAGCTCCAGGCCGGAGAAGTCCATCTCGTCCACAAAGCACCTGCTCACCCAGAACACACAAAGAAAAAGACACCCCCACCCCGTACAGCCTTAACAGACTGTTTGGGAGCAAGTGCTGTTCGCGAGTAGCACCCATGAAGGCCGGCACCGCACATGAGGGGGTGGTGGTGGTGGGTGGCCAGCACCACGCCTGGCCCACCTTTGTCGCCCCAGGGCTGATGTTTCCACACCGCACAAGCTTTCAGGTTGCTCATCGATTATCCGGCGAGCGATTTATCCGGCTGCTTCCAACATTATCCTCTTCCCCCCCTTCCCCCGAAGCCGCCGGATCATCGCTGATCGGCTGTAACAATCTCAGGTGGAGTGGACGACCCTGAGGAGGTCCAGGACGCATGAGGTCGCCGGGTTCATAGCGCGGGGTGCTTGACCACCATCGCTTCCCACCGCCACGTCCACCCCGTGGACGTGCCTTGCAAAAGCGAGATGTTCCGTCTCTTGGGATTTTTTTTCCCAAGGTGGCGTATTTTTTCAAATAATAATAATAATAATAAATACACAATGCGCGTTTATTCTGACAGCGATGGATATATTTTGGCACACAAGACGCACGTCCGCTATTTATAAACGCAGCTCCAGATGCCATCTCAATCCAAGATGCTGTGGGCGTACAAAACAGAGAGGCAGACGCGTCCCCACCCGAGGCATCCACAAGGTGCCGTTCACGACAGTGGCTTGGATCTCCGAGGCCCAGTCGTGTGAGCGCAGGGCTGGCTGAGCACCGGTGCATAACGGGTGCTATAGGTGCGTGCCCGCGATGGTTGTTCAGCGCACCTCACCGCGCCAGTCAGTGCAGGGGGCATCGGCCTTGGGCGCATGGTACAGCACAACGATGCCTTTGCTGCACTGCCCTTTGCCGACAAAGAATCCCTTCCAACGCGGCCTAAAGCGCCTGGTTATGCCATGCATCGTGGTCTCCCATACCAGGTACCAGCCAGGCTCAATGCTGCTTTAGCTTCTAAGATATAATGAGGTTAGTAGCATTCTGGGTGATTTGTCAAGGTGGACATGTGTAGAAAATACACGCATATTTTGCAATACATATACAAACACACACAGACGAAGATCCCCCATACAGCTTCAAAAGACTTTTGGGGCAAGAGGGGGTGGGTGGCCAACACCAAGACAGACGACCTTTGTCTCCCAAGTGACGATGTTTACACACTGCACCAGGTACGGCCTAGGGGATGCCCAGGACTAGTTCAGATAATTGTCACCGGTGTTAGCCGTTAGCGGGAATCGAACTTGGGTCGTGGGGGGTTTCATAGAGAGCAGCACACTAACCAACCTCAGGTAAGCCAGGTTTCAACAGTACAGCAGGCTCCAAACCTTATCTTTGTCGTCCCCCTCGAAATGTGGCTCCGAGCCTTCGATGGAAAAAGATCGCCAACCCTGCACCCTTTCAAACAGGAAGACAACCAAGCCGTGGCTACGGCCGGCCTTGGTTTTCCGCGTGCGGCGGCGGCGGCACTCACTCGAGGACGTCGCGGTTGAACGGTCGCTGCCGGTTGCCCAGAAACTCGCCGATCATCTGGCGACTGAGGCCCTTGCGCTGGAGCAGGAAGTGGGCGGCCGCCGATGCAGTGGCGCCCACGAAGCCCCGCGACACGAGGAATGCGAGGCCCTTCTCGGGCTTCCTGTTGCACACACACACACACGCGCACGCGCGCACAAATGTAAAGCGTCACCCATGTAGCCCACGCAGACTCTCCGGGGGCAAGTGCGGTTAAGCGAGCACCTATGAAGGACCCGACACGTGCACTTACGTATTTGTTCACAGTGTGCCATTGTTAGCGCACGCTACAATGTATGCACGTTGAACGTCTTTCGCACGGTACGTAGCCAACTGTGCTAGTAATCGGAGGTGCGGGGTGAAGGACAACAAACTAAACACAAAATGAGGTTCGAAAGACACGAGTATTTAATCTGCGTTTAAAGGTGCATAGCTCCAGTGGCTTCATCATATCGGAAGAGGTTTGAGCGATCCCGGAGAAACGATGGGCGAGTCAAGCCCCAGAGAAGATGTGAACTCGTGAAAACTTCTGATTGAGATCGCCGAGACTCCTGGGTGCATAAACGGACACACTATGCATGCAAAAACGCAATTCAAACAGCAAAAACATAACAGGAATCTAAAGAATGCTTTGCATGTCAAGAAGACACCACAATTCTGGTGCATTTTCTGTACACAGCCTTTTCACAGCCACGAGCTCAAAAGAGGTGAGATTGTGGCATTAATTTAGTCAGCGGAAGGCCAACACAAAGGCAGCTGTGCAGCGGCTTCATCCTTGTTACGAGACAGCAGATACTTGAACGGTGAATGCGCACAAGAAAGGCGATATCGTCGGTGAACACAGAAGCCACGCTGGGAGATGATCCCCTTGTGCGCCGAATTATCGTTTGTTTCCCAGCCTGGCTGCCGAATTGCCTCTTCGGCCCGAGGGAAGTGCTCGAGAAATGTTTTTGCCACACGCACCACCCTCTACCTCGCTCGCGACGACGTTTGCCGGCCCGGGCGAGCGGCGTGTTCATCACACCCCACCCGCCCCCCTGCAATGGATTGAGCACGAGTGAGGGGCCCATTCGCTCTACCCGACCCCGTCACCGACTGAGATAGCATCCTAACAACGCTGTGCCTTAACTGGCCAGCAATGCGGTGCGCAGTGGTAACTCTTCTGCCTCGTGCCAACAAGGGTCTGTGAGGAGGGGGGGGGTCGGGGGTGGTTCGATTCCCGACCTTTCCCCGTCGAGTCTGTATGTTCTGCCCCGGTCTTCTGCCGCGGGAAAATTAAACGTGCAATGAAAATTATACAGACCAAACATCCCGCGGGTGAGCAATTACCTTCAAATTTATCTAATGGAAATTACACAGCAGCAGTAGCAGCAGCAGCAAACACTGCCACCCCCATACTGTCGAAAACTTGGCAGGACCCTCGTGAAAAACGAGGCTTGAGACTCGGCGAGGCTTTCTGGAGGATAACAAGCATAGTAACAAAAGACTAATAACAAGAATAATAAACGGAAAGCAATGCGTGCAGTCCAATTCGGCCCAACGGACGATTGCTTTGTTTTTCACATCAGCTCATTAATTGGTGGCAATGAACTGCAAACATAAACCCAAGTTGTGTTTTTTTCTGCCCTTAAGTAAACACACAACGCTGTGCAACGAATTAGCATCATTCCTCCGGGGGTGAGGGGTCCAGGAGAATATATTTACATGTATACCCAGAAAGGAACATTTAATGGGCCCAGGGCCGTTTAACGATGCTATCTTTTCCGTTTCCTTGAACCAACCAATTTGCCGTGGGGACGATCACGCTTATTCTTGGCTGCTTTGCACTCCCTGATGAGTGCAGTTGTTGTTGTTGTTGCCGTCGTGCAGGCCGCACGTTTCCCCTTCATTTGTGAGTGGCACTTCGAAAACGAAGCAATGCGGTTTTTGTTTTTGCTCACAGAGACGCAACTTTTAAGAGGTGGGTGGGCTCGACAGGATCGTAATCGACTACGGCTAGACAATGAGGCAGCACTGAGAAGATGGGAGACGGGCCGAGGCCTAGGGCATGGATAAACCGAGTTCTCAAGTAACCACGCATGGCGTTCGTTGGCCGTAGTTCGGTCGCAAAACAAAATCCCCATAAGTGTTCTATTCGGTTAAGTCACTGAATTTATCCGGAGCTATGGGCGTGAGAATGTGGTTTATTGTCAAATAATATTGTCCCCGAGCTCATGGCAGGCAGGTGACTACTACCTGCTCTGTTTGTTTGTGCCAGTCAATTGGAAGTTCTTCTGCCCATGTTTTTAGCTCTTCTGTTACAGCGCTTGCTGACAATACACAAATAAAAAGGGCCGGAAAAGTATAGTGGAGCGTATTGCAATGTTAAAAAAAACTGTGTGCATTATTTTATTGAACCTGCTAAAAAATGAAGTCCACTTCTGAATGAAAACAACAATACCATGTCAATAATGTAAACCCACGGTTCATTAAGATGTGGTGGGGATGATTTCATGTGTTTAAGGACATTAAAAAATTAGTTACAAGTTGTTAAGCATTCATTGCCTCTCAATTACGCTTTTAATTAACCATCGTAGCCTGTTAATAGAAACGATTAAAACATATTTAATTCTCAAAAAGCAAGAATTCAGTATCTCCATTTTAATATTTGCCTTTCAATAAGAAAGCCAATTGAAATATTTAACGAGTTGTTTAACCCTACTCCATTCAGTCAATTATAAAAAAATATATAGTAATGCAATATTCATTAAAAAAAACGTATTAAATGCCTTTAAGTCGCTTAATTGTAATTACTTATCATAGTAAGAATAATAATAACATACCTATTCTTGGTTCTTTCGGTAAAGTCACGTAGAAGGGAAACAATAAAATAATAAAAATATAAAACAATAAAATTCTCACGACGTTTCGACTGCAACACAAGCAATCATCATCAGGTGTGAAAACCACAGCAAGAAAATTTGAAAAAAGTGGCGTTTTTTTTAACGTCAGCACCACGGAGAGCGATTTGGCAGTTATTCAGGTGGACGAGTCCATCTATGTTCGGAAAAGAGGAGGGGGGAGACGAAAATAATGGATGCGGTCTGAAAGCCACCGTAAGCGTGAACAATCAATTAAGACCCGAAATGGCTTATCAAATCCTTCCAATGATTGCTAAGCCAGAATCCATCTTCTTGGTTGAAATTGTCTCTGTGTTTGTATATGTGGATAGCCTCATGAACGAATCTCTCATGGTAGCCAGATGGCTTGCAAAGAACCTCTGTCTTGAAGAAGTCAATGTCATGTGAGCCTACTGAATTATAACAGTGATCTGCCACGGCCGAGGTGTTGGTCCTACCGTGTTTTAGGTCTGCTTTGTGTTCACGAATGCGGTCTGAGATATGTCGTTTGGTTTATCCAATGTAACTACTACCACAGAGGAAACTTAGTTTGTAGACGCCAGGGTACTGTTTCCCTTCTACGTGACTTTACCGAAAGAACCAAGAATATGAATCCCTGCAGTCACGAAAGCTTTAAATCAAATAACATACCTGTCAACCCATTTTCAGTGCCTACCTTATTACAGACCAATTCAGACCTTATTGGTCACCCCGTGCCCTTATAAATCTCAACGTTCATCCTACAAAACCCCATCACAAGGGAGAAACACAAACAAATAGACAACACAAATGTTGTTGCCCGTATTGAAACGGCTGTACACCGTATGGACCTGAAAACTAAATTTCCCTGCACAACAATATGGTAAACCGAAAGGTTGTAATGATGCGCTTCACCTAGGAAAGTCTCACCGAGTCACAATAATGTTTGTCAGGAGGTTCTTGCTTTGGGATGTTAGGCCAATTCCATTGTCAGGTGTGTGGGGCTTGAAGGACAAAAAAAAGCCATGGTAACTCCAGGCTCCGCACAGATGGATTCAATAATCATTTTAAGAATGGCAATTGACCCGTCTTGCCATTTGACAAGTGCTTCACACTTGCCTGCAAAGTGGTACTCGTGTTATTGTCCCTGGATAGAGAAGGTAAATTGATTCTCAAGGCCTGAGTTCTTTCCCCAAAAAGGATTTGGAACTCGAGCCCAGCGCGAGAAACACGCAGTGTGCGCAACTCAAACGAAAAACGTGGCAGTTTCACTTATATAGAACGCTGTGTATGTAGCCAACAATCATAATTGGAGGTGTGGAAGAAGGATAACAAATCAAACCACGAAAAAAAAGTTAACCACAAATTACTTTTCAATCTAGATTTTAAAGTACATATCTCCAGTGGCTTCCCAATATCGGAAGGAAGAGCGTTCCAGATGGCCACAGAAGCGCATCTGAAAGCGCGTGATGCAGTGACCATCTTTGTTCGATGGTTAGCCAAAAGCACATTTTGGCACAGAATTCATTCACACGTTTCCTCATCTGCCCGGGTGATGTTGTGGTTAGAGGGCTTGACTCACAATCGGAAAGTCGCCAGTGGGTGACTCAGCCCATCATCATCATTGTCGTCATCGTCATCATCATAGTCGTCACCATCGTAATCATCATCCCTCTGAGGCCGATTACATTTTTGGGATATCAATGACACAGTCCCAAGGAGAAACTGGCTCCCACCACCATGGAAATGTTTAACTTCCTGCAATTGGCTCGGCGTTACAAGTGGGGACGTGGACTTAAAGATTTGCGTGCACAGGGCATTTCAATTCCTCGGCAGGTCAAAGAGCATCACATCTCATAATTTCAACCATCCCAATGCCTTGCTGCATTCTAGCCAAGGGACCACCCTCCCACAGTGGTAGCTCTCCCGATGCGGCAGTGGCATTCGGTGTACGCGGCACCGGCCCGCACGTGGACAGTAGCCTGCTAGCAGTGGACGATGTTTTCAATTAAGGAACTGAACGTGCAATTCAATTCCATGTCGGACACTGAAAACCGGCACACGTGTGGCCGCCGACTCATTTCAATCTCCGTCACGCGATCTTTAATGTCCTTTGTGGTAGCATGTGGGTGGATATCTATTTTTTTGGTTTAGACACCCCCCGCCCCCCCCCCGAGTCACGAACCTTGGCAATGAACGGCAAATGGACGCATTGTTGGCGGTACGCCGGTGCCGCGGAACACACCGGGGTCCTCATAAAACAGTCTAACATAAAAATTTGAGAAATAAGAATAGGGGCTGTAATTTAATGATATGTACACTGCTGGGAAGTCAATAGTGGTTTTGTCCTATGGATTAACACCGGTCCCTGCCATAGGAATGTGGCACTCACCACTGTCTGAATACCCTCAGGTGAGCGATTTACACAGATTTACCTTCGTTGGACAATGGGAGACATTTGAATAATGTTGACTATCGAGGAAGTGTGATGTTATTGTTGATGCCTGGCACACAAGAGGAACATATGAAAAGTAAGATTAGGCTGTACCCTTTCTGGCTATGAAACAGGGGGTGTGAAGATGTTCAAACACCAAATTGATACCTTTTGCGAGGAATCAAGTCCGCATGAACCACACGTACTTGTGGTGAAGATGCAAACAAACGTGCTCCGATAATATATGCATTTTGATTTGAAGCTTTCGTGACTGCAGGTTTCCATACTCTTTGGTTCTTTCGGTAAAGTCACGTAGGTAGAAAAATAATAATAGATCACGACGTTTGGATCGCAACAACAAGCGGTCGTCATCAGGTGGGACAACCACGGCAAGAAAAACGGGTTCAGCAAGAGTTTTTTTTATCGCTGTGGTTGTCCCACCTGATGACGATTGCCTGTTGTTTCGATCGAAACGTCGTGATCTATTATGTTTCTACCTACGTGACTTTACCGAAAGAACCAAAGAGTGTAATGTATGGATTCTCGTTGAAACCGATTGGCCTGCACCATATATGTGGCTGCTCCCCCCCCCCAGCTATAAATGCCCCGGTAGTGGCATTGTCCTTGTGCTGTTCGCCCTATTGGCGTTGTTCTCTGGTCTGACACTGGTGGTGAGACTAGCCCATGTCGAAGGCTGTCTCTGTTGTAGGCCAATCAGTTTCAAAGACAATGCGTAGATTATTACCAGAGCACGTGTGTTTGCATGTTCACCATAAGTAGGTGTGGTTAATGCGGAAGTGATTCCTCGCAAAATTTATCGATTTGGTGTTTGAACATCTTAACACCCCCTGTCTTATTGCCAGAAAGGGTAAAACCTATTATGTTTTTCATACTTTGATACTGGCAAAAAAAAGGTTCCATGATATGAAAGGTGAATCACCAAATCTGTTTATCAGTCTGAAATTGACTGTCGCCAAGTTTGATATTATTCGAAGGTTTATTCAGTCTACTGAGACTTGCTAAAAAAAATGGCAACATTGATCGTAGATCAATATTGATCGTAGATCAATGTTGCCAAATCTGCCTTTGGAGTCAGCCAATTGCCATCAGGCTGGGTGCTGCTATATGGCAACAGACTGAAGTTGTTGTGTTCAGCTGCTCATGTAAACATTCGTCTTCCGACGGCTTTGACATGGCGGGAACTGATTTTGATGCACCCCGCAAGATTCTCCGCTTTCATTTTTTATACCGCACCACCGGTGTGCCGCCAATACGTTCAAACGCCGCGACAACTCCACAATGCCACTGCCAGTCCGTGCCCAATTGCAAAGGGGAGGATGATCTTCACCGTCAACTTGTTTTGGAGTTGCATCGTCCATCACTCGACGACTGGGCATCAGGAGAAACTACCGGACATCTGTCTGACGAAGACCTGCATGAAGCTCATCGGATTCCTCCGGCGTGAATATATATTCCGATTCGCATTCTCGCTTTTTGGCAGAATGACAGCAATTTTTTTTCGAGAACAACATCAGACCAGTTACGCATGTAGCAAAAGCATTGTGCGGCATGCTTCCGTGCAACAACGCACATCGCCCCCGTTCCTCCACTTCTCGTTCTGCGATTGTGAAACGGGCCCGGGGTTGATGATTGAGTGGAGTCAGGGTGGGGTTATAGGGTGGTGCTACGGAACCAGCTAACGATGGTGAACTATTTCCCCCCCAACAGCACCCGCAAACGAAGAGGAATTTCCGGCCAACGCCTAAATTCTGAAAAAGCGTGAAAACAAACTCGAGCGTGGGCCATGGGCCGTGCAACGCCCCAGGGGGGTGGTATGAAAGATTTTTGGGGGTGGCAGGGGTGGTGTGGATGGGGGGGGGGGCAGACTGCAGCATGCATACTGAACAGGAGAAACTTTGAATATGTGCGAGGAGTGCCAGCACTATGTTTTGGGTGACAAAACACAAAGATGCACCATGGAACGAATGCCTTACCCACACGCGGATACACAGCACCAAACACACATCTTACACAAAACACACAGATACACAACACGAAACATGCTTTACACAAAACACACAGATACACAACATTGCATCTAGTGAGATGATTCACGATCTAGATATTAAACATGATCCATCTTCCCGCCGCCGCTATAAACACAACCATTGCAATATGCAACATGGTGAAAATTCCACATTCCTATGGTGGCGTCCAGTATCGAGCGAGGCCTACGAAGCGGTTCAAGCTTGTTTAGCTGTGTACGCAAAATACTTTCCACGATCGAATCAACTCTGAAGACGCGAAGGGTTTTGCCTGGTTAGTACTTGGACGAGACACTCCCTGGAAATACCAAGTGAGTTGCAGAATGCCCAAGAGATGACGACTGAACTAATGTGTGTGGAGCTTTGGAGTGTTCAGCCCCTTTGTTTACACGCGTTTTTTTCCCAGACAACGCCGATGTCCTCTCACATGAAGGCAAGCACTCATATTATTATCGCCGCATTTGGTATATCCTATTACAAGCCCATCGATCGGCACTTGGTGACAAATGAATTGTCACGAATCTGGGCAACAATTCGATTCAAGAACTTCATTCTTTATTCTATTTTTTGTATGCTGGTAATTCTGGGAACGATGTAACCATTTCTTATTTTTATCAGGTGTAAGGCCCACTGAGCGATATTGTTATTTATCAAAGTAACCTGGCCACAATTTATAGCTCAACAAAGTGGCTGATTCACGTGGGAATTTAGAGCAGCCAAATACTCTGAAAAGCGTGTTTCTACATGTGGAGGGGAAAACCGGAGGACCCTGAGAAAAATCCAAGCGACCACGGGGAGAACATGCAAACCCCAAAAATATCAGGCATCGTCAGTGTCGGGATTGAACCCAGGACGTCCTGTATACCAGGCTAGGCAGTTAACATCTCGCCACTGCGGCACTCACTTGTTGAAGAGGTTGAGGCCCACGCGGTATTGACGCTTGCGCTGTGCTGCGACGCTGCTCGTGTCCCACCCCTGGAGGCCCCCGTCCCGTGGTATCGTCTCCACCTCGTCCAGAAAATCCAGCGACTCCACTCCCTGATCCACGACCGCCATCCCTCCTCCTCCTCCTCCCGTCGTCGTCGTCATTGTCGCCGGTGCCGCAGCCACCGACGAACACAGCGAGGAGCCCTCCTCGGTTCGACACGTGCTCCCCTCCTCTTCATCATCTCGCCGCACGGCCGATGAGCCCGTGTTGCCCTCTGCGCACAGGTCACCGTCATCATCCTCGCCGTCGTCCCCGTCATCTCCCTCGTCGTCATTGCCCCCGTCGCCGCCGTTGACGCCGGTGAAGTCTTGGATGTTCCCAAGCGGCGACTTGCCATTGTAAAGGCCCTGGTTCACGGCGACACATTGCCGGACGTTACATTCCGGCGTCGTTCCGCTGCCCGCGTTGTCATCCCTTTCACCCGCTCGTCCTGCCGGTTCGTCAGCTTCCGTACCTTTGTCGGCATCGCCCGCGGCGGTCTCGTCAACTTCCTTCACCGCCGCCAACAACTCCTCTCCTTCGCGGTTTAGCAGGCAGTGCGTTGGCACTTTGTCCGTGGCAACGCCAAAATCCCTGCTGCTCGTTTTCGGAGCGCGACGCTCGCGGTTCCTCTGATCCACAACGTTCACGGAGGGCTCCGGCTTGTCACTGGGAATCGCGCAGCTTCCTCCGACGACGCACTCCTCCTCGCTCGCTTGCAACCCGTCGCCGCTCTCCAGTCCATCGTCGGGGGTGGTCGCGCAAACCTCGTCGCGGCCCTGTGGGACCAGCGCGTCCTCATCGATAAACAGGGTCACCTTGATGAAGGAGTCTGCCACTCCATTGCTCTCTCCTCTGTCACCTTCCGTGTCATCATCGTCGTCATGATCATTGCCTTCCACGTGATTGCCGCTCCGTTCATCTGCTTTAAAGTTACTGGCGACGCTGGTGTGGCAGACATCGCCTGGCCTGCTGACGGCAGCCTCTATAATGTCCTTGCCTTTCAAAACAGTTCCACCGAGGTTTTCCAAATCGTTGCCGCTCGCATGTGCATTGGAATGCAGGGAATTTGGACCTAAGCAGAGATCTTCCACAGCTGCAGGCGATGTCCTTGTTTCAGCTGGAACAGTCATAGCGTGATGGTCACCATCACCACCACCACCACCACCTCTGTCGATGTCACCACCATCTCCACTGTTACAGTCATTGCCACTACCATCACCACCACCTACATCGCCACTACCGCCGCCACTGTCAGCGTCGAAATCAATACCACCGCCACCACCGCCACCGCCACCGCCGCCACCTCCAATATCAGCCGCGTCCCCGCCACCACCTTCCGTTGCGCCGCCGCCGCCACCGCTGCCACCACCGCCGGGAGTGTCGCGGGCACCACGCTGATTGGCTGTGCGGGCTGTGGGGGATGGGGAGGGGGTGCTCGAGCTGCCGCCCCCCTTCGACGACATGCGGATTCGCTCGAACTGCTTGCGCATCTGGTGCTGCCGAAAGGCGGCCTGGATGGTGCGAGCGGCACGCCGGCTCTCCGCGTAGCCCCCGTAGCGTCTCTCCAGCACCTCGGTCTGTGGCATTGGAGCCAGACGAACATACCGAAACGGAGGCAGCGCAGAGATGGAGAGAAAGACGGAGAGAGATGGAGAGAGAGAGCATCAGAATGTCTGCTTGGTGCTGTGACAATGAAGGTGAAAGATCGTTATCTATGTAAACTGAACCATTAAAAAATTCCTATTTAATTTTACCAGGGAAGGCCCACGGAGTTGTACAGCTTCTTCAGAAGTGACCTGGCCACAAATGGTAGCTCAACCAAGTGGCTTATCATGTCGAAATTTCAAGCAGTCAAATACTCTAAATGCACGTCGATTCTAAATGTGAAGTGACAAACCCGAAGGACCTGCAGAAAAATGCACGTGACCACGGGGGAGAACACGCATACTCCAAATATACAGGCATCAGGGTCGGGATCGAAGCCACGACCTCCTGCATATCAGGCAGGTAAGTTAACATCTTTCACACCGTATGTAGCCAGCCGTTCTAATCAGACGTGCGGGGGAAGGCCAACAAACAAGATGTTCACAAAGATTAATCTGTAACAAACGTCAAAACTCTTTCAAGAGTTGGGGGTCAGCTCAAGCATTCATCAACCCCAGCTTACTAAAAATGAGTATCACTTTGTGGGAAATTAACAGGAGTTATCTCTGCAGGCTATATACTCATCCCTGCCATGAAAATGTGGACTTTCCACGACTGGCTTAAGGGTTGCAAACGGGAGGCATGAGCACTGGCCAAAATCAGAGTGGAGAAAGCACTTTGACTTCACGTACTCTTGGGGGGGGGGGGGGGGGGGAGAGTGGGGTTTTGGCTTCTGTCTAAAAAAATTACTCCTCTCTTTGCCAAGGAGATGGTGCAGCCTTGCAATCTCACTCACACCACACTTGGAGCAAAAGCCTCTACTTGAGATAGTTCGAGAGGGTATTTGAAATACACTTCCATGCTGCAATATTTGGTAAAATAAATTAACAGCCTTAACTTTAAAAATGGGACCTTTTTGCCAGTATCAAAGTATGAACAAAATAGAAGTTTATAGTTGCTCACACCGAGCAATAAATGCTCAGACAGTGCATTGTCGTCTTTGTTACTGTTCGTCTTTGGTGTTCTCTGGTCTGACACTGGTGAGTAGGCCCTAAAGAAGGCCATCTCTGGTGTAGGCCAATCAGTTTTAAAGACAATGCCATATATTATCAGAACATGTTCCTTTGTATGTTCAGCACAAGTACTGCGTGTGGTTAATGTAGACCCGATTCCTTGCAAATGTTTCTATTTGGTGTTTGAACATCTGAACACCTAATAATAGGGTTTTTTCCCTTTCTGGAAACAAAACTGAATCCTTATTACATACAAGGATTCATGTCTACATTAACCACAATACCTGCAGTCAAAATGCAAACAAAAAACACACTATGATAATATATGCATTGTCCTTGAAACTGATTGGTCCACACCAAGCCATCCCCTGATTGGTCCACACCAAGCCGTCCCTTGGTGTGGACTAATCAGTTTCAAGGACAATGCATATATTATCATAGTATGTTTTTTGTTTGCATTTTGACTGCAGGTATTGTGGTTAATGTAGACATGAATCCTTGTAATAAGGATTCAGTTTTGTTGCCAGAAAGGGGAAAAACCCTATTATTACATTTTGGTACTGGCAAAGGAGGTCTAATGATCTGGAACACCTGTTTTATTGCCAGAAAGGGTAAAACCTATTCTTATATTTTTTCAGTCTTCACTTCGTCGGTATTCATAAAAAGATATATGTTTGTTTACCAGCCTGATGGCCTTGTGGACACACGTTCTGGACTAATTGTGGTACAAAAACACACATAAATCCACAAAAAACAATGACGCGTCATGACTTTTCACAACCATGGGTTATAATAACCACTTCACCGATCGTTTGATCGACTGACTTGATTGCTTGTTGGCGGACCGATCAAGTGAAGGCAGAGCCGGGTTACCTGCTTGGCCTGGAGGTCCATCGACAGCTCGTAGGGGATGCCCGCGAGTGAGTGTTTGCGTCGCACGGTCACCCCGCCCACCCCCGCGTCGTCGAGCCACAGCGGCCTGCGGGGCTGCTGCAGGCTGAGGCGCCGCTGCGTTCCCGCGGGGCGGTGCTCCGGTTCCACCAGGCGGTACGACGTCGCCGGCGACAGCGCAAAAAACGTCGAGGAGGGCGTGGACGACGACGACGACGACGACGACGAAGAAGAAGTGTTCGACGAGGTTGATTTGGGGGTCAGGGTCAAGGGGCAGGCGAGGTGCGATGTGACCGTCCGGGGGCAGCGGTCGGACGCCGTCGTCTTAGGGGCGGCAGACTGCAGATCGGTCGACAGTGGGTGGAGGCTCGACGGGGCCTCGCCGGGGCACTCGATCGGATCCTCGGGACAGGCGTCCGTGGCATTGCCACTGGCGAATTCCGAGTCCAGACTAGTGCTGCGGATTCAAAAAAGGAAGGCAAATGATGAATTTGTGAAGATTTACGATTTAACACCGATCAGACGACTCACAAATCGGAAGGTCACGATGAAAATCTCATTTGAAAATCCACCCAGTCGTCAACTGCTTCGGGTCGATAACATGCACGACACCCCGCTATGTGGATATCAAACAGCTACCGCCTCATTGTGTGACTGGACACTGCCATAGAAATGTGGAATGATCACCACTGGCTCCAAACACCAAGAACAGCAATTAAAACTTACACCGCACTTATGCAGGCTAGACCCTTTCAATTTTTACACTTTGGCCTATTAAGTTCAAATCCAGAGTTGATGAGGACAACTGCAAGGTAGTCAACAGTCGTTGTCTTATGGAGAAACTGAACCATCGCCATAAAAATGTGGAATTTTATCACAAGCTCATGGCTGTAAACGTAAAACGAGCACCGCTCAATGCTCGCCTGAGCGAGGAAATCACTTTTGACTTTGACAAGCTACTAGAATCATTTAAGTTTAATGTTATCGAATGAATTCACTGACGACACATTAAACATTAAACTTATGAATTATAAATCGTGCATGTACATGCAAGAACTATTTACAAGGAATATCTCCGCATTTCATATCGTTACGGTCAACAGTTGCCGTCACGTAAAAATAAAACGTCCAGACCGTACCACAAACGCTGCCGTTTTTACACCAGGCACTAAGATCTGTTTTGTGTAGACTTCATAGGCACAGACCGATCATGTGCTGGCAACCTTGCCCAAACGTCCACACGACACTCAAGCTAAAGCCATCTAAACCCCAGCCACACCAGGATATTAACCACAGCACGGTTGCTACTTGCGGCAGCGATGTTTGCCTGATCACGACAATCCAAGATTGGTTTAAATTTTACAACTGCCGCCGAGGGTATTTCAATAAGAACCGGGAAGTGACGGTGGATTAGGAAACGGGGCGAGGCCTAACCTAGAGCCTGGCTTAGGCTTCAGAGCTGAAGCAAGGCACAGTGCATGCAACAGAGGTTCCCTTTTCAGTGGAAAGAGGAAGTTGGTTTCGGAAACTTTCCTCACTGTTTTTTTTGTGCGAAACATTGCATTAGTTTTCAGTGTCCATTTGCACCAATTAATACATTGAATGCACTGCACATAGAATATACTGGAGAGTGCATTAAACGTACGAATAGGTGCAATATATTCCGTAACAGGTTTTTTGGGTTTGATCGCATAAATATATAAATGTGTCGTTAAACCCGCCACAGCTAATTAGTAAGGTTTGTCATTAGTAGTACAGCACACCGGTGTGTTGGAGAGCAAAGCCGCAACATGCAAATGTTGTGGCTTTGCACGACAAACCTTACTAATTGGCTGTGTTGGGTGGTGGCCGGTTTAACGACACATTTATATATTTATGCGATCTAACCCAAAAAAAACTTGTATTTATGGATGATATTGGTCGCAAAAGTGTTAAAAAGGTGCAATACACAGAATCATAATCTTACATTAAACTTCATGATTTAATCACATGCTACGTACATGGCACCTTGGTTATGGCGCTGCGCTTCGAACCCATGACCATTTAGGCCTTCCTCCATTGGTGGATTGAGAATGGCTCGAATTAATTTGTATAAACGGTGCAGTAGAATCCACTCGGATGTCACCGTGGTTAGAACTTCATTACAAATCTTGCAATTTCAAATCCCAGTCGGCGATGCAATCAGTCCTTTTATTCCTCCGAGACAAATTGAGTGAGTAACCACCCCATAAGAAAGTCAAAATTGGTCATCCTCTAGTGAATACAAAATTGGAAGCATTGGCTCATCAAGGCCACGTATAGCACTGTCAACTCTTCAGAATTTTCCGAAGGATCGTCCCCGCTCTTTGAGATAGCTGCTGTACTGGCAAATCTGCAAATCTTCCAGAAACATTAAAGTCCCGGTTTTTTGTCAGTTGCATAATGAAATAACGATACACCTCTCAAGAAAATGTAGTCACATGTGCATGTTGTGCTATACTCTTTTGGTATTCTCCCCCCCCCCCCCCCCAGAGACGTCCAGCTGGTAGGAATCTCATTATCCACGACCGCAAGTACTCTTCTGTACAAGTGTACGCACGCGCGTGCATGATTTATACACGCGCCGCGTGTGGGATTTTATTATGACACAGAGGTGTGTGTGTGTGTATCTGTCACCAGAATGTGGGCATTAAGTTCGTCATTTTTCCATTCAATTATTTCCCCTGCCATAAGAGGAGGCAGTCGGTATACCTGCGCCACGGAAATTATTCATCCCCGAGTTTATTACGCATGGCGGGGACCACAGCAAAACATCATCACACGGCTACATTACAACTCCATCACCTAAACGGAGATGCAATTATATATTTTTTTCTCCCCGAATCCCTTCATTACAACCGTGCGGTACTGGTTTATGTGTCATGTGTGCATGAAGCGTTGGTGCAGAGCATGCCACGCTACGAACCTGGCGACCCGAGTACGATTCCCCCGTTCACAGCCACCAAAACCGGTGACGATCATCTGAACCGATCCTGGGCCTTGCCGAGGCTGACTCAGCCTCAAATGAGTATCTGGTGCAGTGTGTAAACATCGCCACTTGGGAGACAGGGCTGTCAGGCGTGGTGCTGACCATCCACCCCCTCGTGTGCAATGCCGGCTTTCATATGTTCTCGCAAACAGCACTTGCCCTAACAGTCTGTTAAGGCTATACGGGGGGGGGGGAGAAGGGGGGGAAGGGGGGGTTGATGGGGGGTGAATTCTTTGCATCATCTGTGCGGGTGTGTTGCACCAAGGCTGCATTAAGTCACCTAATTTATGAACACTGTGTCCGCGTTTGGATTTGTGTATGATACCAATTTCCTGAAAATGCAGCCTTGCAATTGGCGAGGCTCGGGGGCAAAGATCCTCGGGCATCTCAGCGGCCGTAGCCAACGAGTTGTGCATGTGGTGCAACAGGACTGGGGGCTCAGTAGCTGGAGGGACCCAGTTGCTGGGCCACAAAGAAGAGGGGGGGGGCATTGGATTCCTTTCACCCGGGGGTCATCATAATAATGTTTTAGTTTGATATAGCGCCGTTGTTCATGCGGTTTGCATTTCACTATCGCGGAGGAACCAGATAAGCTGGAGGACAACAGTCGTGCAGTGGGTGAGCTGGCACCAACAATTTCCCAGGCTCCGTCGTCCTCTACATATTCAGATGTTTATCCACAGCCGGAGAAAATCCACGCGTGCAAGGGCTCGCGAACACCACTCGATCCCATAAAGAAGGGGACATTGCATTAATCCACGACTTTTCTGTACCACCTTCTCCTGTCAAGTCAGGGTACACGGCACATCGACACCCTTCGCTGCTGCCTCCACAGCACTGGATTACAGGCAGCCACGTGGAGCGTAACCGCCGCCGCCGCCACCACCGCCCGGCTTAACGCAGGGAGCTTTTAGGGGCTGCAGCAGCACAGGGCCTGGGATTTTGAGAGCCCCCCCACCCACCAGCCACCTCCCCCTCCACCCACCAAAATATGTCGACTGCTTTATATCAGTTTAAACACAATTTAGAAAGCACTATGATAAATCCTATAGGTAATCTGATCATTAAAGCAAGAGCTTCAGTTATGCGCCGGGATTAATGGTGCTTATTTTTCCAGTGTTAACTTAGATTTTTCTTAGTGACTCGCATGACACATTTATATATTTTTTTTTAAATTAACAGGGGAATAGCAATGAAGAGTTTGGCATTGAGCACGGGTGGCAGGGAATGAGGTGAATGTATAGTGGCCCCCCAAAACTACGAGCCCCTAGCCCCTCCAATCAAACTTAATTCCGCCAATGTTCATGCCACCGAGTCCACCGACTTAATTTGTATTGCTGAAACTTTATATTCATGGATTTAAAAAAAATACTTTTAAATCCAAACTTATCCCACCGCCCTTGCTAATTATGCTTCACGGTCGCGGAAATTTCACACGCAATTAGCGAACACAATGCAAGATTCATGGCTTCAGGGTGCACGTTATTTTAAAGGGTTTAAGTCCCAATGCTCGTGCGGGAATTCCACTGTGCTCATTATAACTGTTTGGGGGGGGGCTCTGAGCCACCGACGGAAATTCCACATTAACGTGGCAGGTGTCAGCCTACTCACGGCACCACTGAGTGGTGGCACACCGCGGTGTTGCTTGGTATAGCCGTGGCGGAGGAGCTGTGATGACGATGGCGATTACCACGATGATTGACCGACTGAACTTTGTTAAATCTCTGTGTACTCGCAAGCGAGGCAAAGACAAAGATCCCCCATATAGCCGGTAACAGACTGTTGGGGCAAGTGCTGTTAGCGAGCACCTATGAACGCCAGAACGGCACACGAGGAGGTGGGTGGGCCAGCACCACGTCCGGCCGTCAGATACTCATTTAAGACGGAGTCTCTCTAGGCGAGGCCCAAGACCGGTTCAGATAATCGTCACTGATTTTGGCCCTGAGCGGGAATCGAACTCAGGACGCCAGGTTCATAGCACAATGCGCTAACCACTACACTACAGCTCCCCACAAACACACATACAGCCCTGCAATTCCCTTACTCATACCACCGCTGGCAGAATGACCTCCTGGCGAGAGGGAACTCTGTGGTGAGCCTCTCTTAGTGGGTATTTTGGACTACTCCTTCACACTAGCCAAGACGTCTTGATAGAGGTGGGAGTACCCACACTTTACCCCACCACACACGACCTCCACATTGTGCTTAAATTGATTTAATTTATACTGCTGGGTGGACACAGGAAGGGGGGGGGGGATGAGGATAATTTGATTGCAGGTCATTCAACGGGACTTTTTTCATAAAAGCTTCTCGTTTGGTGGATGTGCGGCTTACAAATGCCAGCCACCATAAAGTGTTGTGTTCTTTGGGTCTTTCGGTAAAGTCACGTCGGTAGAGCAATACAATTATGAATAATTAAGTCATAAATAATACAAATATCACGACGTTTCGATCGCAACACAAGCAATCGTCATTGCTTTTCACCTGAAGACGATTGCTTGTGTTGCCATCGAAACGTCGTGATATTTTTAGTATTTTTTATTCACTTTATTTTAATTTTTATTATTTATTATTTTGTTGTTCTATCTACGTGACTTTACTGAAAGACCCAAAGAACATGAATTCCTGCAGTCACGAAAGCTTTAAGTCAAAAAGTATTGTGGTTTGTAGTTTTGCTATTGTACGAATCACACGTGCCATCTGGCTTTTTATAATAAATTGGAAAGGTTGCAAACCACACATGCACCAAACGAGATGCTTTTTTAATCGCATTTTTTACCATTTTTATTTATTACTTTTAGAGCTGCAATAATACGACCTAAAAAAACCTTCATTCAAACTAGCAGTCCGCACGTCTTTTGGGCGTGACAGTTTGTCCCTCGCTACCTCAACCCAGCCAGCAAAACTTGTTTATAACATAGTACAAAAACTGTACGCCTTTGACCATCAGTGCTTGCAACAGATTCACCTCAGCGAGCGTTCTCACATATGAAGAACTCTGCTGTTGAACAGCAAGCGCATCACGTGAGCACGTGTCTCAAGTAGTCAAGATACAGGAGACTCCCGCTCTTAGGGTGCTGCAGTGGTGAGATGTTAACTTCCTCGCCTGGTGTACAGGAAGTTAAAGGTTGGATGTCGACCCCGACGCCTACTGTATATTTGGAGTTTGTGTGTTCTCCCCGGGTCGTGTGGATTTTTCAACGGGTCCTCCAGTTTTTCATCTCCACATTTAGAAACATGCGTTTAGAGTATTTGGCTGCTATACTTTAGACGTGAGAATCCATTTCGTTGACATTATTTGTGGCCAGGTCGCTTCTGAAAAATATCTATGAAACTCAGTGAGCCTTACCTGATAAAGTACAAAAAGTTTAGTTTAGTTAGCACTTTCGGTGGCATTGCCCGGGATGACGTGAAGTTGCCGGATCACAGCCGAGCTCTGTGTGTTATCATAAATGGCCTTGCTCGGGATTGGAGGCGGCCCAGGGGCAGGTCCAGGCTGTACCCTGGACCCCGAGCGAATGAGGCCGATCTCGGGCACCATAACCACGGCGTTGGATGCAGGACGGGGTTGCCTGGCGACGTCTCATGAGGAGCGCTACGCCCAGGCCGAAGCCTGCCACTGATACTATATCAGAAAAAAAATCAGTCCCCCACCTGATCCTCCTGCCATTCCTCTCTTGAACCCTCAAGCTCTCTTCTCCACTGCCCCTTCTCTTCCCTCCCATCGCCCCTCCACTCCTTCCCATCCCTCCCCCAACCTTTCACGATCCCCCCCAAGTACCCCTTTATCGCAGTCACTCATTCCTCAACCCTGCACGCCCCTGCCATCCAAATCATTCTATTCCGTCACAGTATTTTCAAACTATGTCAAGTGCCTTTGAGCGAATATAAATATAATTTATTTCAATTGCGATTAGATGAGCGATTCATAGCAAAAAAGTCCGCGCGCCACACTCCTCATTCACCACCTATTGCGTGACCAGTACTGGTACAGCAAAGACTCTTGACAGGTACGCACCATCTATGTACCAAAGAAGCAGATCCCCCCCACCCCCCACATCGCATAAACTATAACCACAGACAGAGTTCTGCGAGCAAGACGCCTATGACATTGCCAGCACGATACCAGGACTCCATTGCCTCCCGAGGGCTGATGTTCGCACACCACAACGTGTGCTCATCTTAAGGTTCAGTCAACCTACGGGAGGCGGCACAGATCTGGTTCAGATATCACTCGTGGCCTGGAATCGAACCGGACGACTGCATGGAGTGGACCAGGCACAAGCCCGGCCACCATTGTCTCTCCAGGGGTCGTGTTTGCATGCTTACGGCATGTGCTTATCTCATTTTGAGGCCGAGTCAAGCGACGAGACGGCTGAGAGCGATTCAGATTTTACTCGCCACAGATGCAGGCTACAGCCAGGAATTGAACCTAGCCGGCTGGGTTAATAGCCCAGCACGCACACCACCGTATCCACCCACGGCTGCCTCCCCCCACACACAAAGACACACGGTGCTGCGAACCGGGCACAGCACAGCGCGTATTCGTCTAGAGCCAACAATAAAAATCCATACAGACCTTGGATTCATCGCAGAGGGCGAGGGCAGGGTTTGGAAGATATGGTGCTGGTTGGGGCCACCGCTCTCTGGACTGAAACCCCACGCACGCACGCACGCTGCGCCCACCACAGGAAACTACAAGCTCCCCCCCCCCCCATTTTTTTACTGCTAGTTGCTACGCTCTCAGTATAAAATAAGCCACCAGTCATTTCCTCCCTCGTGCCCACAGAGCGAGAGAGAAGTTTAAATCGAGTTATTTATTTTTTCGTTACACGCATGATTCCTGTTTAGGCATTGGCCCGGCTATTTTTTGCATGGGAGATCCGTGGTTCGTGAGCAGAGAAGCAGCAAAGCCAAGACAAAAGGCATTCGATGTTTCAGATAATAAGTACGTGGTCCTTAAGGGAACATGAGTGAGAAAATGTGGCCTCACCCTGTGCTTTTACAGAAAATATTAAATATAATCATCCATTGGCTCCCGGCAATATATTCAGCGGCAACTGAAATTTGAACCTCACCCAGACGGTCAAGTTGACGAGCGGTGTTGATTTCCATACAATTGCTACATTAATGAATCAAGAAACAAAAGTGACTTGAATCACGGCCGACAATAATTAACAGCAAAAAAAAAGCTCAAGTGCAAAATTAAAAAATATATATTTTAGCCGCGTGTAAAACATCCACGAAAAACGAAATGCGTCGCTTCGTCACAAGTATTTTAAGAATGATGGCTACGGATAACGTGGAACGGCTATAGCGTGTCTGTGTGCACTACCACGAGCATCTGTCTGCCATTTACTACCAAAATGCAATGCTAGAGAGTGCATCCACTGTACTTTCCGTGGCTTTTCCTGCAGCAAAGATGCAGACCAATTATCCATCATTAAAAACAAAGTAAACAGCCATTTTTTTTTTAGAAGCTCGATGTGCCTACTGAGGCTTCCACCCACAGTTGTCTAAAAATCACATGCCCCCGGCCATCCGTGCCATTCTCATTATCTGCTCAAGCCGCGTGTCAAGGCTTCTTCATTAACTCTGCCCCCACTGGCAAAAAAAAAACCGTCTGGCTCTCTCTCTCTCTTCCAAAGAAAAAAAAACAACCACTCGCACCGCGTTTTTGTGCATCGTCTTTAGACGCAATTGCGATCAGGCGCCGTTGTAAATTGCCAATGGGTGCTTGCACTCTGCCTGGCGCAGTTTGCGAGTACAGGCAGTCCTCGGTGTACGTCCTCTTGCGGTGAGCCGTTTTAGAACAACGCGGCGCGCTTTGTATTTTAGACCCATTTTATCGACACGCGCGAGGCACTTTTCGGAATAAGGTCACCCGCGACGCGACACGCGCCACCCTAGCCTGGCACCGCGACCCAACGGCGTTGCCAGCAGCCAGTGGCGGTACGATAACGAGCGAGCTTTACCGTGCAGCGGCGCTCTTCCCTTCGTCTCTCGTTGTGAACGTACGCCGTCAAGTTTCCTTGTAGCTTTACGTACGGGTAATACTGTATTTCTTTAGTTTAGTTTTTGCTTCAAAGACGGTATATTCGGGTTCACGTGATTTTCATTTTTATTTAAAGTATTATATTGTGTGTACATGGATTGTGTTAATTTAGGCTAGGATAATTTCGGCGGTTGTGTCTGTGAGTGCAGCGAAATCCCCTAACCCCCTCCTTTACCATTATTTCTTATGGGGAAATTGCTTTTGACGTAACGCAATGTTGAGATACGCGTGCTTTTCCATGAAAGCAAAGGAGTGCCTGCATTACACAATCTAGTCATCGCCACCTAATGAGTTCAAAAACTCAGATGTGGCAGACCCATGCCGACGCGCCAGCCACGACTCGCTTGCACGCAAGTGGCTGGGTGGCCCTGTGCTTAGATCGCTCAATACACTATCTAGTCCGAGTTCAAATCCCAGTCGGTTGGCAACTCAGCCCATCAGCATCCGCTACCATCCGAGGTCTATAAAATCAGAACCGCTTTGCGAACTAAAATTTAATGTTCATGCCACGGATTAACTGAACCCCTGTTACGGGAACGTGGAATTTCTAACCGCTCGTCCTGGGGCTGATGCGAGTGCTGCTGGAGATATGCACGTCGAAATCTAGAGTGAAACCCCATTTATTTCGGACTTCTTTTTGCGTGTTTAGTTTGTTGCCCTTCCCCCGCACCTCCGGTTAGCAGCGGTTGGCTACGTACGGTGCGAAAGAAGCTCAACACGTGCGCGCACACACACACACGGTGATAAAGCAGCGCAATTCTTTACGGCCGCGTGTTTGAGGAGGAGGTCGGACGCAAGCGCGTGGCTCAGGTGAGATCACGACCTCCGGAGTCGTGGCTGCGCACAATCGCAACGTGGGTGCCCCGCTGGATAAAGCGTGGGGCAGACCAGGCCCTCACCGCACCGTGTGGTTTGTTGGCGGCCGGGAGGAAATCTCCAGCCCAAGATCTGAGGACAGGCATGGTGCAGTGGATAACGGGAGGTCGGGCGGGGGGAGGTAGTGGGGGGGAGGGGGTGGAGGAGGGCCAAGACAGGATGAGGGGTTTAAAGTGGGGTCTATTTTTTATTATTTCAGGCCGATAGTTTAAATCTAAGCGAGCGTTTCTCTGTGCTATGCGGGCTGGTAGACACCGCATGCCGCCGTCTAAAGCAGCAAAAAATTCAATTTCGTGAGATTTGTAATGGCAGTGTGGTGCAATAGAGGACTAATGTGTCGTTATTAATTTCATACGACTGTCATCAAAATAACATTTACTTACCCAGGAAGACCTCACTGAGCCCCAAGGAATTTCCAGGGAGGGTCCTGTTAAGTTTAACAGTTTGCTTTGTGGTTTTTACCCGAAAGAAGTGAATGTTCCTAATTTGGCAAATTTGCCCAGAGATGGCAGCAGACATTGGCCCACTGCTTCCTTTTTTGAATAACGCAACGGGATCTCTTTAACGTGCACTGTGACGCAGAAGGTGCGCACTTACGATTAAATATGCCCCGCAGGAGAAAGCGCAGAATTAATTTGCACAAATCATAGGTGCTTGGTGCTAATTGCATGTTTTCCTATCGGCTATGGAAACTAAATCTGCACCCCCCTTCAAAAACATATCTACAGCAGTCCCTCGGTTTACAGTGAGATCGATTAACGGGTTCTCAGTGAGCGTTGCGCCTCCCGTAGGGCTTCGACTAACGTTAAAATGTTGATTAACGGTAATGTTTACGTGATGCATGTAATTCCGATATTCGATTGACAGGTATTTCGGTTAACAGTTGTTTTCGTGGAACGGATTAAAGACGTTAACAGAGGGACTCTGCTGTACAGTACACACTGCATTATAAATTATTAAAACGCAACACTGCAGCACTATAATTATAGTCAATCGTAAAGTTGATTGGGAAATTAAAGCCAATATTCTGGAAATTCTGTTCCCCATCGTAGGAATGTAGAATTGCTGCCACTACAGGCTCGGGGCCCATAACAGAGATGAGGAATGTCCAACACTTGCTGGATAATTAAGAAACATTGACTTAATTCATTAAATCAATGCACAAATGATAGGTGCTTGGTGCTAATTGCACATTTAATATTTTAACATTCATATTTTGTTTCAATCAATCCACGAGTTTTTATGCATGTGGGAGAAACCTGGAGAAAACATACGCGCGCACGCGTGAGCGGGTGCAACACTCAATCCCCCGTGCAAATGGAAACAGATGGAGATTAATCCACTTGTTGTACGCCCATACCCTAGCAATCCACGGTATGATAGGAACGTCAACACCCATGGGATGAATCTCGCGACATTTCTGCGATCCACCAACCGGGGCGTTCATGGCCACCATCGCTCAATTCTTATTCGCACAATTAGATTGCACGTACAGGGAGCTTTGGAATTAAAATAAAAAATCTATTCAGGAATTGCTTCGCCGACTCCACGCTGGGAAGACGCCACAGACAATCTCAATGCCGATTTCCCCACTACGTGGCACTTAATTATCAACCTCAGACGGATGATGATTGATGATGGACGAGTGATGATCATCACCAATGATGATGATGGGCAGAGTCCACCCCCGCGACCCCAGCCAATGTTTTAAACTGCAACCTTCCACTTATTGAGGCGAGACACTCCAACCGCACGCTTCGAGCTAAAAAAACAGGCGAGTCCTGAGAGCCATTTCGGGGATTAATGCAGACAAGGAGGGACAATGTACTATGTACAGTATGCTGAACTTCTTTCGCGAGGTACGTGGCCAACCATGCTAAATCGGAGTTGCGGGGGCGGTGGGTTGGGGAAGGACAACCAAGAAGTGTAGAGCGAACAAGGATCCAGCGGCAAATTGAGTTCCCTGAATGTCCCGTCGGCTCACAAAGGGGCTCCCCCTCCCCGCTTGCCCACGTGGCAGTAGCAGCGGCATAGCCGAGTAAGTTTACCACGAGTGGTAAACGAGTGGTAAACTGGCAGCGGCAACACCGAGAAGGAACAGGGAAGTGAATGTGCGATGGCGTTGATGGTTTAACCCCGAGAGGAAGTAAGTGCAGGGTAGGGGGGGTAAGCGGGCAGCGGGGGGGGGGAGGCATTGGTGTTTGTGCTGATACTGGGCCCGGCCACCTGCTTGTGTGGTTTGCTACGCCGTTCCGTTCGTGATAACGCTCCCGAAAGGTGCTTATTGCAGGACGCGGAAATAATAAATGTGTTCAAATGACATCATCCAAACACCGTGTCGTCCCCCTTCCGCCACCCCCCCACACCCACCCAAATTTTAGCGGCACTCCGTCTCTGTCCGTGGGCCATCCCCCGCCACCCCCCGAATACAGCGGTGGTAATTCTACGTTCCTACAGCAATGACTAGCCAGTCATTTTGTAGACCTTGTAGGTGGTATGATGATGATGATGAGTGTAGGGGTAGAGTGTAAATAGTTCATCCCTCTCGTGATGGTGTATGAATAGGCCATTTCCTTGACATGAATTGGATGTATTCCGTGTGATCTCAATTGAAAGGGAGGGGGGGGGGGGGACATTGCACAAACGAGGCCCTGGACAATCTGTGGAAGATAATGAGGCGAGCTTGGGAAAGGAGCAGCGAATGGAGGTGTCTCTCGTCAGAGAAGCACGGAAGGCTTTTTTATTCTACCCCCCCCGCCAAATCTCCAGATCAAAGGCGTGCGCGTGCAACCGCGCACAGGTCTGGCTCCGGCACACGGGACGTTACCAGCAGCATCCGGCAGCGCTGTGGCAACGGAGAGGCGGGCACAGCCGGCCCGGCTGCTCGCCCACCCCCGGGGGCAACCCCCTCCCCCCCCCCACCCCGATGAACGTGCGGCCGCAGCGTCGTCGGAAACGGAGGGAGCGGTTGGCAGCCGGTCGCTCTTCGTGTTTGCCGGCGGTGGCGACGGTGGTGTCACAGGCGCTTGGCGGCTACAACGCAGCGAGTTTTGGCGCAGTAGTGGGGGTGGGGGGGGGGGGGGGGGGAGGGCACGGGTGGTGCATCTGCCAGTCATCCCAGTCGGTCAACCCGTGACACCTGCCGGGGGTCTCTCCCACCGTGACCCTCCCCGGTCAGCGGAGCCTTAGGCACTACACGTGGCCTCAAAGTGCACCTGGCCTGGCACGGGCGCCGTGGTGACGTCCCTGCAACTTGGTGGCGGAGAGGGGGTGTTCACACAGGGCACAGGAGCAGAGGAGGCAGATGGCGGAGGATGCGGGGGGCAAAGTGGGGGGGGGGGGGGGGGGTGGTGTTCACCTGTTTAAGGCGTCAGAAGCGCTTGGCTTTGCGCAGCAGAATTGATGCATGGAGTCGGAGTCTCTGTGGGTGTTTGGGTGGGTGGGAAGAGAAGGCGTAATTAGTGTTTACAAGAGCACTGTACAATTCAATCCAGACTCTCATTAGGCGCACGTTGTAAACCGCTTGCTCCTTATCCTTCCTGCCCATCTCCTCCGGTATGTAGCTTCATTTATTTACCCCCGATTTGCAGTGCCAGATTAAGGCTCCAATGTAGCAGAGATTTCCAACATTTTGTGTGTGTGTGTGTGATTACAGAGCAAATTACTGCATGAATGAACCTGGCGACACAAGGTTCGATTCCCAGCCATGGCCAATGTAGGTGGCAAGTGATGTCGGGACTAATCCTGGCCGGGTCTCCTCCATCAGCACCAGTGAGACAAAGCCAGCAGGCCACGGTGTTAGCCACACTACAGCCTCTCGCGCCGTGCCGACCTTAATAGGTGCTCTCTAACGGCACTCACCCCTGCACCTTGTTAATGGCTACACAGCAAGTAATTGGGGAATGGTGGGTACGGTGGATAGCGCACGGCGCTACAAAGCGTGGTCACCACAGCTTGATTCCTGGCCGAGTCCAATATGAGTTGCGAGTGATATCTGAACCCAGTCTGAGGCAGCCCCGAGGTTGACTCGGCCTCATGTTGGTGCAGTGTGCAAACATCAGCAGCCAGGAGACGAAAGTGGCCAGGCGTGGTTCTGGCCAGGCGTGGTGCTGGCCAGGCGTGGTGCTGACCACACCACTCCAATGTGGGCTATTGTGCTTATTAGGTGCCTGCTAAGACACTTGCTCCACTGGTCTATATGGCTACATAGGCAACCTTCATATATATGTGTGTTTATATAAATAGTGTATCTTCCAAGATTATTAATATATAAAAAAAATTAGAATTCAGTATCTGTTCAAGAGATATCTGTGTGTTATGCAAACAGAATAATGTTCATGTGTACTTAACATCTCAGGAAGTAAAACCGATCATTTTTGAACACGACATTAAATCATGCAACACATGGAAAACCAATCCTTCTTGAATAAAGAGACGCAGTCTCAACGGATCTTAATCCTTACCGGGCTAAAGTAAGAACTGTGATGCTACGCTTTAACAGGTGTAACCAACACAGCGTTGCCCTGCTGCGGGGAAAATGTAATTTTTTAGTTTATTGTTACTATCGTCCGTTGTTATATGAAAAACAATTCCAAGGGTTTTAATAGCATTGAGGCGAAACTCATCTCCATCTGCACAGTGGTGGTAATTACACATTCCTAAGGCTGGGCCGCCAGTTAATCCCAGAAATTGCCACCATTGACTTCCCATATGTGCACGTCCAGCCATTCCGTTAACCCAGCACTGAGCGAGGGGGCTCCCCCCTTCCCCACACACCGTGCGACTCACGGGGGAGTTGCTTAGACCATACTTCACCTAGCTGGTCGGCGCAGGTTGGCGAAGGAGAGGGAGGAGCATATGTGTGCAGCGTAAGAGTCGAGTACAGCACTCGATGTATATATTTGCACGATGTTGCATAGCCAGCACATAGCTTGACAGCCGCCTGACAACATATCCGTGCGTGGAGGTTCCCCGACCAGGCTCAAATCTTCTGTCGGTTGCAATCCGGAGGACTGCTTCACATGCATGCATGTTGGACTTCTTTCGCACCGCACGTAGCC